AAAATTTTTAAAAAAAAAGGGCAGAATATGCGAGCTCTGGTGGCCTAGAGGCAAGAAGCTGCACTGCAATCCCAGAGGTGAGCAGTTCAAATCCACCAGATGCTCTGCTGGTGAAGGAGGGATAATCTCCTCCTGTACCAGGCAGATCAGATTTGATGGTACATGCAAAATAATAAAAATTTTTAAAAATAATAATAAAAGGGCAGAATGTTCAGATAGACTGTGTTCTGGTTTCCAGGAAATATGATGACATCAAGAGGCTACTGGCATCAAAGAAACTGTTGTCATTACATGCCTTTGAGTCAGAACTGACTTGTTGCTAACCCTCCAGTGTATTTTCAGAGGCTATAAATTTTACAGGAGAAGATTGTCCATCTTTCTTCCGAGATAGTTCTCCCAAGATAATTTATTAAGAATAAATTACCTAGGATTCAAAAATTTCACCTGCTCTTACTGGATTTTATGAACCTCAGAAATAAGATATGTAGAATGATTCTTTATTAGTCACAGTTTTTAAGAACAATCCTCTTGCAAATGCGGTCTTATCTCAACCAAGAGAAAGAACCATAAATCTACTTAGAACTGGAAAGAGGCGCTCATGCCCTTGGCGCCCACAGCAGATCTAGAGATGAGGAGGGGCTTGGAGGCTTTGTGACTGCTGCGCCCTTTCCAGACCTCTGCTTGCCCTCACCTCCAGAAAAACCTCCTGCTCTGTCCAAGGACAGACAGCGCCCTGCCAGCACAGCTTGGGTGTCCAAGAGGAATGTGCAGTGGTCACTGAGCGTGTCTTGCAGTTGCCGTCACAAGCCAGGTCACATGTAACTGCACTTCTCAGTCGAAACTTCGGCTTCTAGGTTATGTGTTTTTTAAAAGGAGGCCAGCCTTACTAGATAATTCTGTGTCTTTGTTCTTCTCCAGCACGCGATGAACGTGATTGGGATATTCGCGGAGGAGCAAACGCTGGTGCTGCAGATAGTGGCGGGCGTGCTGCATCTGGGAAACATCAGCTTCAAGGAAGTTGGCAATTACGCTGCGGTGGAGAGTGAAGAGTGTGCGTAACTTGGGCACGTGGTTGTGGAATGAAGGGAGATGGTTGGCTCTGGCTAGAAATACCCTTGCGTAGATATCAACCAGGATACTGTGGAAGAGATTAAAAGTTGTATGTGCCTTGGAGCAAATGGCCCTTTCCTATCTGCAGGCTTTCTACATCTCTCATAATAGATGACTAATAAAATAATTTCAATTTACCATTAACCTGAGGGATATCTTGGAAAATTTCACCTATAGGTTGAAAGACAAAGTGGTATCTTTAATGAACATTGGAGTACTAGCTTAATAATTCAAAAGATTAATCTTCTAATGAAATCCTTTCTAATGACTGGTCTTTAAGGAGCCTTGCTGATATAGCACATAAAAAGCAGGGAGGCCAATCACCAGGGGTTCTGTGGGAGAAAGATGGGCTATCTCCTAAAAAAGTACCTTAGAAACCTGATGGAGAGTTGCTGAGTCTGAATTGTCTCAATAACAGTGGACTTAAGAACTGAGCTTTATAATCTGAACAAAACCTGAATCTGTTGTGATAAAGCTGATTCCAACTCATGTGTCACAGAGACTGCCCACTGTAGGTTTTTCTTGACTGTAACCTTTTATGGAAGCAGATCACCAGACCTTTCTTCCATGTGCTCCTGGAGAAGTTCCTAAAGTCAAACTTGGTTAACAGCCAAGAGCAACCAGTAATCTATCAAGCAAGATATATTTTCTGTGTAAATCTGGAATGCCCACACGTTCACAAGTGTGCTCTGTATCTTGGATTAGATTCTGGTTTAGAAAACAGAAAAAAAAAGTGCTGATCACCCTGAATGAGGAATGTCAGGGACTCATCTATAGTCAGGACCTCAAGACCTCATTTTAGAAATCTGGGTCCCAAAGGGATATGTTTCTGGCGTGTCTGCAACAGTCTGTCTACCACAACACTGTGTCAGCCTCTCTGGCACAGAGTACTTTACACGCTGCCCCCCTGAGCTCACAAAACCTTTCAGCACCCAAGAAAGCCATTCTTCCTTTCTCAGCAGTCTTAAGGATGATAAATTTAGATGTTTAGCAATAAATAGTATCCCACGCACTGCTGACAATGCAGTGGGAATATTTCCATTCCAAATAAGGCTTTTTTATGGTTTTGTTTTCTTTTCTGATAAAAGAGGGAAGTTCTGCTAACTTCTGATGTATGTCTGATAAAGAGAAAAATGGATTATGTTTAACAGAGAAGGGGTGGTGTGGAAAGCAGTAAATACACGAGCTGTACATAAAGTGTAGAAACAGAACTAAGTGATAAATGTTTCTAGACCTTTATGCACATCATCTTTTATATGTAAATAAATGTACAGGTGTGTCCAGTAGGTCATTAGCACTTGACCTTTTAACACTGATGGGTTGGGTTGGGTGATGATTTCTTTACTAGATGAATGTCTCTTGCCTTCTTGGATACTCATATTCTTAAGAAGAAAGTCATAACATGGAATGCACAAGCATGGTCCTTTAAGTCTGAGCCAAGAAGGGTTCATTTGACAGTGATGCGTGGAGGAAGCAGCCTCCTCAGCCAGCTGGGTCTTCCCCAGCTGATCAGGGTGGAAGGACGGAAATCACAATGCCTATACAAAGTCTAATGAAGAAATGAGTTCTTCCTCCAATGCGTTCCTTCTATTGATTTCAGGGTTTGTTCATAGAGTAATATGTTACTTAACACAGTTGAATATAGGTATGTAGTCAAACCTTTCCTTCTGCTCTTTTGTCAATCAGTTTGTTTCTTCCTGGAGACAACCCCTGTCCCCACTCACTTGTATGTCCTTTTATGGGCACATGGTTTCCCCCCTACATTTGTGCACTGGTGGTGTTATTAGCTAACATTGAGTCAGCAATGACTCATAGAAACAGTATGAGTAACAGAGCTGATCTTTGCCCTATCCTGTGCCCTCCTCCCAGTCTCTGATATCCTTGAGCTTGTTGTTACAGTCACTGTGCCAATTGATCTTCTGCAATAGTAGGAGCATATTAACCACTGCTTGCTTTTTCATTGAACAGTATATCTTGAAGATTATTCTATAGCCATTCATAAGGAGCTTCATTTTTTTTAAAGCTGCGTAGTATTTCATTTCTTGGCTATACTCTTTTTCTGTACCGGTCATCTGTTGATGGCCATTAAGATTCTTCCCAATCTTTACTCTTAAAAATAGTTGGTGGTTGTTGTTGTTGTTGTTGTTATGTGCCTTCAAGTCACCTGCAACTTATATGACCCTATGTACAACAGCCTTAAACCTTGCCCTATCCTGTACCAATCTCACTGTCTCCAACATACCTACCCACCCCCCCATTACCTCAATCACTGAATCAATCCCTCTCATCGAGACTCCTCCTTTCCTACACAGGCCCTCCACCATCCCAAGCATGGCATCCCTCTCCAAGGACTGATCCCTCCTTGCACCATGTCCAAACCCAAAGTACATCAGACGAAGCTTCAGAATCCTTGCCTCTAAGGAGCAGCCTGGCTTCACCCTCTCCAGGACAAACCTGTTTGTTTTCTTAGCAGTCTATTGTATATTCAATACTCTTATCCAACACCACAGCTCAAAAGCAGCAATAGTACTACTATCATCCCTAGTCATTGTCCAGCTTTCTGATGCATAGCAAGTGATTGCAAAGACCATGGCATGTATCAGGCGCACCTTAGTCTCTATACTGACATCTTTGCACTTCAGTATGTTAGAGAGGTCTCTAACTGCAGACTTTCCCATTACAATATGTCTTCATTTCCTGGCTGCTGGTGCCAAGAGTATTGACTGTGGAGCCAAGCAAACTAAAACTTGAACAATCTCAATCTCTTCATCATCCACCATGAATAGTAGTGGAAGCTGATCTATGTCATATTTCTCATATGTGAGTTTATATCTTGAATGAATTTCTAGAAAGAATTGCTAGCTATGTGCGTTTATGATAGCAATCACCAGACATTTTTCTACCATTGTTAGGGGAAAAGGGAAGATGCTAACATTCCCATCACAACGGGCCTACTAAAGCAAGAAATTATTAGTAACAGCAAATGTTGTTTCTGATTCTGATCTTAGACTAATGGAACTGTAGAATTTCTTTATTCAAATACATATATGTGTGTTTGTGAGTCTTAAAACTTCACGTTTTTAAAAATAACAGAACATTTGACAATTTCTACATTATTAAAATTTAGCTGGTATAGTTCAATGACATTGTGTTCACCCTGCTGTTAAACCATAACCATTATCTGTCTCTCTACATTGCTATCACCCTCAACAGAATCTCAGTCTCCCCTAAAGTTTCTTTTCAGATCTTTCTGGTTTTGAGAAGCTAAAAAACCCTCAGTTTAGGCACCTGTGTGCCTTTACAATGTATATAATACAGTGATGTAGCTTTGGGAACAAGTGTTCCTACAAAGAAATGAAATAAAATTGTTGTTATTCATGGCTTTTGAGTCGGAGTGGACGCCTAGCTGATGCTAAAATGGATTTTCAGAGATTATAAGTCACTCTGGAGGAGAACGTACGCCTTTCTCCCATTGAGCAGCTGGTTGATTTGAACCACCTGCGTTTAAGTTGGCAGTTTAACTCCTTACCACCAAGCCACCAGAGTTCCCTAAATAACAATGAGTTGTAGAATTAATAACACCCCTTCCTTCCCTTGTTGTTGATGGCATTGAAAGCACAGAACTTCAGTGTAAAAGACAGATAAACCACAGTAACTTTTTAAAATTTCTTTTCAATTTAGAAAAGTAGAATTGTGTTTCACTTTCATACTTTGGATTTAATGGAAACAGCTTAAGCCAGCTTCGCTCTATACTTTAAAGTAATAATAGAAATTGGACTTTATTATTAAAATGGGCTGAAACATTACTATCTAGAAAGTTCTATATTTTATATAACCCTAATTAACCCTCCCAGAGTACATCAACATTTTAAATTACTCATTCCTTCCTCCCTTTTCTACCTCCCCACAGCCTCTAAGCTTTTGCCCTGACACTCTTAACCCTGTGCCCTCATGGAAATTCACAGCCTACAGGAATTCAATAGGAGCAGGCTTGCTATTTCAGTACGGGAAGCCACGAAAGAAAATATGAGGCTATAAAACCTTGTACTTGGAAAAACATGGCGTGGAATTTTTTTTCAAGACCATATAGACATACTTCATTTTAGTGGACTTCACTCTGTTACGCTTTGCCAGTATTTTTGTCTTTTACAAATTGAGGGGTTTGGGCAACTTTGCATCAAGGGAAGTCTTCTGGTGTCATTTTTTTTCCCCAAGAGCAATGCATTTCATTTCTCATCACGTTTTGGTAATTCTTAAAATACTACTAATTTTTTAAAATGCTTTTGCTCACTTAATTTATTACAGTATAATGTAACTATCAGGGAACTCAAATGGTCTAGCAGATAAAGAGAGTTGTGCTGCTAACGTAAAGGCAGATGGTTCAGATCCACCAGTTGCTCCACTGAAGAGAAAGAAGGGCCATCTCCTTCTGTGTGATTTACAGCCTCTGAAAACTCTCAAAAGATTACTAACTTTTCATAATGCCATTTTCCATTTAATAGATTACAGTATAATTTAACTCTTAACTTTTATGTGCCCTGGAAAACACAAAAATTTTAGTTAGGACTCTCTTTATTGTAATATTTGCTTCATGGTGGTGAGGTGGATCAAAGGTGCAGTTACCTCCAAGTCATGCCTCTACTGGATTTGTTCTTTGTCTTGTTTTTAAAATGTTGTCACCCTCCAGTTATGTTCTGCTCTACCTGAGAGGTACATGAGTTGGAAATACAGCTGGTATCTTTCTCACTTCTGTCTGTCTAGATGTCTCCTCAAAGGCTGTCATTAGCATTAGCTAATTGTTTCGTTCTTGAGCTCTGATCACAAAGACAGTTTTTCTCACCATACCTCTATCTTAACATGAGTAAAGGTTTGTGTGCTGAAAATGAGGAGGACCTGAAACGCTTGCTATAGAAGATCAAAAATGTCAGCCTTTAGTGAGCTCTGGTGGCCTAGTGGCAAGAAGTTGCACTGCAGTCCCAGAGCCGTGTGGTTCGAATCTACCCGAAGCTCTGCTAGAGAAGAAGGGACAATCTCCTCTTGTACCAGTCAGATCCAATTTGATGGTACACACACACGCAAAATAATAAAATAGACATTAAAAAAAAAAAAACACCAAACTTCAGCTTTCAATATGTATTACATCTCAACATCAAGAAAACAAAGGCCCTTACCTTTGGGCCAATAGGCAACATCATGTTAGAGGGAAGAAGGGTTGAAGCTGTCAATTATTTCATCCTCCTTGAATCCACAATCAATATCCTTGGTATCAGCAGTCAGGAGTTAAGGAGATGGATTGCTTTGGGTAAGACCTCTGGCAGGGACCTCACCAAAATACTGAAAAATAGTGGTGCCAGTCTGAAGACTCAGGTACACCTGATTCAGGCCATGGTCTCTTCAATTACTTGTTATGTTTCTGAAAGTCAGACAATTGTCTATGACAGAAGACTTGATGCTGGAGAAGAGTACGGAATATCCCATGGACTGTCCACAGAGCAAACAGCTATGTCTTAGAAAAGGTGCAAGCAGAGTGCTTCTTGGAAGCAAGGATGGTAAAGCTTTGTCTCACATACTTTGGGCATGTTACTGGGAGAGTCTATTCCTTGAGAAGGGATATCGTGCTTGGAAAGGTGGAGGGTTGGTGAAAGAGAAGAAGACCCCCAACGACGTGGACCGACACAGTAACTGCAGCAGAGGTCTCAAATATATCAGAGATGATGAGGATAGCACGGGATAGGACAAAATTCAGGTCTATTGTTCATAAGGTCACTATGAGTTGTACTTGATCAATGACACCTAACAATGACAAGGGCTTAGAAGAACCCTGCATCTACAAAACAGACAGTCTGGGAAGAATTATCCACTGTGTCAGATGAGATTTGCTTGTATTTGGTTATCTACCTGGTGATGAGGTAATAACAAAAATATAACATCCCCATAGAGAAAGCCTCTGCTTTTTCAGACATCTGATAAATGCTTTATGTACTCTTTTCTTTTATTAATTTTTACAGCAATCCTGCTTGAGTCATCAGGTTTATCCACATCTTATATCTTTGTCCTGTGAAACGCTGTGTTCAGAGAGGAAGACACAGCCAAATTCCTAACATATACACATAACATTAAAATTAGACTGAAGGAAACTGCCATTGACAAATATAGTGAGCTTGATTTTGTCCACATTGTCTCTTGTGAAGGGAAGCCTCATCACTGATGAGGCAACGTGGGGAATATTCGTATTGATACTAAATATCCTGTCCTGGCATTATAATTTTTCAGTCTGTATTTACTAACTTAAGCTCATTGGACAGTAAATACTGAGTAGTGTCAGCCCGTTACATTCCAATATCATCTGTGAAATGTAAACAGATTATCCTTTATTGGGAGAATACCAGCATTTTTTACATTATCATAAAGTCTTTAACAAAATTATTGTATCAGAATTTTGGTACAGCTGTACACCTTAGAATATTTGTCCAAGTCCAGAAGTTTCATTTGAATCCATAAATACCTTTCATTCTTATTGGGAAATTCTGAACACTTTTTTCAATGCGCAAGAATTAAATACCACATTAATTTGCTCAGAAATCCAGGAAACTCCATGTATGTCACTAGGCCTCCTTTTAACAACTTTCTTTACACTAAAACAAGTGGCTGAGCCACGAGAACCCCAGTTTTTCTGTTTGAAGATCATAAACTGCCCTAGTGCATTCCCTGGAAATGGAATGTGTGTGCCATGATGTGAATGATTTATCAGAACTCCCCTTAGTTTCACTCCATATACCACCTCCATAGGAACCTTCCTGTAATACCTCGCCACAAACTTACCTATATCCTATTTAAACTCCAAAGTAACATATTATTCAAGGATCCCGATTGGACTCCATACTATCTTTATTCATCTACAGATTTTCAGCTGTGGTCAAAAAGGTACTTGATGTACCCTAATCACATCTCCTACTTTGCTTTTTCCTCACCCTTCTGCAGTTCAGTCTCAACCCCTTACCTCTTCTTTTTTCCTCTGCATCTGTACAGATTCTATTTATCTTTCTAAGCCCTGCCCAAATCCCACTTCTTCCTAATCTACCCCAGAAGTTAGTATCTCTTCTTCCCTTTTTCATTTACTTCAGGACTTTATTTTCTCTCCCATGTCACATACTCAGTTTCAGTTGCTAAACTATCTTTGCCTCATTGGGACTATCTTCAATACATGTCTTAAATATTTTGTGCCTAATTCTTTCTCTTTAGTAACCTTGCACTTGGTAAAGACTCAATTAATGTGTAACTGGTTATAATTATAAGCTCAGTGATACCAGGTGTTTGAAGCTCTTTGACAACAGATGCTATGAAAACACTGTATCAAAGGGGGAGGAAAACAATATTTGAAGCCAAAGAAGTATTTCTTGAGTAAGTTCCTTCCTGCTTCCTGCCATCTTGCCTCAAGCTCGAAGATGTCCATTTTAGGCATGTAACTGTGATCTCAGCAGGGGGTATCGCTGCCTCTCCTTCTTAGGTCACTGGTTTGTATTATTGGAAGTCTCACTTATTATAGGATTGACTCATGTAATAAAACAATTGGAACAAAGTGGATGATTGTTTGTGGGAGTGCTGATAAGCAATGGTCACTAGATGGTTAATGGCTTGGCTATTAGTAAGTGTTCCTTGCATTTGCCACAGCAGTCTTGGTGGTGTCAGAGTTAAAGTGCTGAAAGTACTTTAAGGCAGTTTACAGGTAGTTGGAACCAGTGAGCTGCTCTGCAGGAGAAAGATATGGCAGTCTGCTTCCATAACGATTATTGTGTTCTGTCAGTCAAAACCAACCCATCGCTGACCCTCCAGTAGTTTTTCAAAGACAGTTAATTGCATGCAAGGAGATTACCTATAATTCTCCCATGAAGCAGCTGGTGGATTAGAACCACATCCCTTCATGATTGTAGTGCAGCTTCCTACCACTAGGCCACCAAAAGCTTCCTGTGTAAATACTAGTACTAATAAAATCAAAACATGGTATTGTAATCCATGATGGTTACAGCCTTGAAAACTCTGTGGGGAACTTTTTCTCTGTCTTGTAGGGAGGGTCACTATGACTTAGAATCGACTCGATGGCAGTAGTTTGGAGTTGGATATGCATTGATACACACTTTCGCAAGTTTGTGAAATGGATAACTAAAGTTCTGAAAGATAATTGTACTTTATTTTTTATAGTTTTGGCTTTTCCTGCTTATCTCTTGGGGATAAACCAGGATCGGTTGAAAGAAAAGCTCACAAGCCGACAGATGGACAGTAAATGGGGAGGCAAGTCGGAGTCCATTCATGTGACCCTCAATGTGGAGCAGGCCTGTTACACCAGGGATGCACTTGCCAAGGCCCTGCATGCCCGGGTCTTCGATTTCTTGGTAGATGTAAGTAAACACAAGTTGCCTTTGGTGGTGCTTCGCATTTTAGCTACAAAAATTAAAAGCTTCGTGTTCTGGCTCATTCTATTTAAATAATTGCTTTACTTATCCACATTCTGTGCTCTCCCTTTGCTATTGTTACATGCCATCAAGTCAGAACTGACTCAGAGTTGACCCTCCAGTCGGTTTTCAGAGCCATTATATGGGAGGAAACTGACCATCTTCTCCTCTAGAGCAGCTGGTGGATTTGAACCACCTCCCTTTGGGTTCACAGGATAATACTTTACCACTAGGCTACCAGAGCTCCCAAGGATCACCAAATCCTCTCTTAGTTTTCAAATTGCTATCTGTAAAATCAATATCATTGATTTCACATGCAAGCAAGATTCTACTGAAGATTATCCAAAAACGACTGGAACAGCACATCAACAGAGAACTGCCAGAAGTCCAGGCTGGGTTTAGAAGGGGTCGTGGTACTAGGGATATTGTAGCTGATGTTAGATGGATCTTAGCTGAAAGCAGAGAATACCAGAAGAATGTCCATCTGTGTTTCATTGATTATGCAAAGGCATTTGACTGCGTGGATCATAACAAACTGTGGCTGACTCTGAGAAGAATGGGAATCCCAGAACATTTAATTGTGCTAATGCGAAACCTATACTTGGACCAAGAGGCAGTCGTCAGAACAGAGCAGGGCAACACTGCATGGTTCAAAATTGGGAAGGGTGTACATCAGGGATGTGGCCCGTCTCCATACCTTTTCAACCTGTATGCAGAGCAGATTATCTGAGAGGCGGGGCTCTATGAGGAGAGGCGTGGCGTTAGGATTGGTGGAGGATCTATCAACAATCTGCGTTATGCGGATGACACAACCTTGCTCGCTGAAACTGAGGAGGACCTCATGCACTTACTGCAGAGAATCAAGGACTGCAGCCTTCAATATGGACTGAGACTCAATGTCAAGAAGACAAAAATTCTCACCACTGGACCAATTGGTAGCATCAGGATGGATGGCGAAGAGATTGAGATTGTTCACAGCTTCAGTTTGCTCGGCTCCATGGTCAACACTCTTGGCACCATAGCCAGGAAATCAAAAAACGTGTTGCGATGAGAAAGTCTGTGGTTACGGACTTCTCCAAAATACTCAAGAGCAACAGTGTCTCTCTGGAGACTAAGGTCCGCCTGATACAGGCCATGGTTTTTGCAATCACTTGTTATGCATCAGAGAGTTGGACAATGACTAGGGAGGATAGAAGGAGAATTGATGCCTTTGAGCTGTGGTGCTGGAGAAGAGTATTGAATGTACCGTGGACTGCCAAGAAAACAAACAGATTCATCCTTGAGAGGGTTAAACCAGGCTGCTCCTTGGAGGCAAGGATTCTGGGGCTTCGTCTGACATACTTTGGACATGTTGTAAGGAGAGACAGGTCTTAAGAGAGGGACATCATGCTGGGTAGAGTTGAGGGACAGCGCAGGAGGGGAAGACCCTCTATGAGGTGGATTGATTCAGTGACTGGGGTAATCGGGATGGGTGTGTCAGAGGCAATGAGATTGGCACAGGATAGAGCACGGTTTAGGGCTGTTGTACATAGGGTCCCTATGAGTCGCAAACGACTCGACGGCACATAACAACAACAACAACAATCTGTAAAATGAGCATGGGCAATGTGGAGACAGCCATACCTCATCTCTTCTAACTCCACAAAGGGAAACTGTTCCCATCAACAGCATCCACAACACAAAACCAATTCCTATGAGGTCATATATGCCCTCCTCATGCTCCTACACCTCTTTCTATTAATTCTATTTCAGTCCTACAGCTCTACTGGGTCTGAAAGCCATTGTAATAGCTACACAGACCTCACAAATATATTCACAATTACAGGGTTTATTAGGAAGTTAACAGGTTACAACTCAAGTTGACAACAGGATACAATTTCTGCACAGGACAGCTTGTAAAGTGTGCTGCAACACCCTTCAGTCTTCATCCTTGCATGTTTAGGCCAGTATTATAAAGCTCTCTTAATCCTGCCCATTATGGTATTTCACACAAACCCTAATCCTCCAGCCAGCGTGGGTGAAGGCCCCTGGCTCTCACTTCGGCTCCATGGAGCAGGAGTCCCAGATCAGCTCTCTCATTCTCCACTGCTGCTGATGCTGCTTTCCTGTAGGCTTTGGGCTGAGTGGCACATGAATCTCTGGCCCCAAAGGATGCATGCTGCATACTCTGTTTCTTCTTTCTTATTGGTAAGGAGATTCCCAAATTTCTGCTATTGAACCTGGTCCATTTAAACCTCATGGAATGGTGAAACTAGCCAGTCTCCTGCTAGATAGAGTAACATATTCTATCTGCAAGTTTCCAGCTGTGTGGCAAAGTCAAGAGCAATGGCCTGGAAAGCCTTTTTCAGTAATAAACCTATTATAATGCATGGGTCAAGATATGTTACCTGAACAAAGGTGATGATAACTTCTGGCAGACAAAATAATAAAGTCAGAACTACAGACATTACAAAGTTGAGAACTCCCGAGCATTATTTCTAAGATACTGGGTATATTATGTTTATTACCTGCTATTATGAATTGTAGCTGATGTGAGAGGACATGACAACAAAAACAAGCTATATTATAAATTACCCGAAAACTTAGTGAGTTAATACAAAACAATTTCTTCTCTGCAGTTTATGTCACTCAGATATTTGGAAGTGGCTCAGCTGGGTAGTTCTGGCTCACAGTCTCTCAAAAGGTTATTGTCAAGATATTGATTATAGCTACAGTTATCTCAATATTCAACTGGAATTGGAAAATCTGAGATCTGAACAGTGAATAAGGTTGACAAAAGAAGAACTGATGCCTTTGAGCTGTGGTGTTAGAGCACCGAGTAGCCCATGGAGTGTCAAAAGAATGAACAAATATACCTTGGAGAAAATGCAGCCAGAATTCTCCTTGAAGGCAAATATGACAGAGCTTTGTCTCACATACTTTGGGCATGTTGCTAGGAATAGTTGTTCTTTGGAAAATACATGTTGCTTGGAAAAGCGAAGGGTCAGCAAAAGAGAGGCATACCCTCAACAAGATGAATTTTTTCCTTTCTATGAAGATGGCACCAAAAGTGAAGAAAGGAAGCCCCTTTCCCTCCCAAAACCGAAGCCAAAGCAAAGACATTAAAGGCCAAGAAGGCAGTCCTGAAGGGCATCTACAGCCAAACAAAAAAAAAAGAAGATCCCACATCCACACGTCACCCACCTTCTGGCGTCCCAAGAAGCTGAGACTCCAAAGGCAGCCCAAATACCCCCAGAAGAGCGCCCCCAGGAGAAACAAGCTTGACCACTATGTCATCATCAAGTTTCCCCTGACCACTGAGTCAGCCATGAAGATAGAAGATAACAACACACTTGTGTTCATTGTGGATGTCAAGGCCAACAAACGCCAAATTAAACAAGCTGTAAAGAAGCTCTGTGACATTGATGTGGCTAAGGTCAACACTTTGATCAGGCCTGATGGAGAGAAGAAGGCCTATGTTTGACTTGCTCCTGACTATGATGCTTTGAATGTTGCCAACAAAATTGGGATCATCTAAATTGAGTCCAGCTGGCTAATTCTAAATACAAAATTTTCTCACAAAAACTAAACAAGATGCATTAACACAGTGGCTGCACCAATGGGCTCAAATGTGTTAGAGATGATGAGGATGATACAGGATAGGACAGGGTCCAGATCTGCTGTACGTAGCTCATTATGAGTCATAATTCAACTTGACAGCACCTAACTTTTTTTTTTACCTAACATCTTTTAAGATGGCCTACTCGTGGTTATGGGCAGCAAGCCTCAGTTCAATTGCTTTGTGCGCCTCTCCATAAAGCTGCCTGAATCTTCATAGGAACCTTGCACTTGTCTTCCCTTAGAGTGGATATTCTAGAAGCAGAAGAAAGAAGTCCCAGTGCTTTTTATATCCTAATCTTGACCTCAAAGCATTGTCGCTTCTGTCACGTAGAGGAGAGCTCTGGTGGTGTGGTCCTCAGCGAGCTGCACTACTAACCCCACAGTAGCCTCTCTCTGTCATCCACCAACAGCTCTAAAGGAGGAAGATGGGCAGTCTTCTCTCGTACAATTTACTGTCTCTGAAAACCTGTTGGCAGATTAGCTAGGAGTCAATTCCAACTCGTCGGCAGTGAGAGAGAGAGAAAGAGAGAGCCACATATTTGTTAGAAGCAAGTTACTAAGAATGGCTCACATGTAAGGAGAGAGAAGTTAGACTATTTTTTTAAAAAGGGAAGAATATCAAAGACATTTTGGGAGATATATTTTAAACTATCACAGATTATTTTAATTATGGCATAATCGTCTGCATATACATATATATGCATATATGTTCTTATGTATACATCACATTTATATCCTAAAAAAATTTTTTTTCAGCAGTATAGAGCTGCCGGTGATAGTCTATGTTAATCTTTCTAGCCTTTAAATGTTAAAATAATAATGGCAAGCACTTATATAGTACAGAGCTCAGGTAGGAAGCTGTGGTGGCTATTAATTAGAATTGACATTTACTGAGTACTGCCTTTATGCAGTCCATATTCCTCCCCCGTGCACCCTGATTCTAGCAGCTCTCATCAACTACAGCTCTCTATCTATGTTCTCATCATTAAGTCTGTGTCGTTTAATTGCAGAAATTTCTTTTTGTAGTGATAAAGAGTCATTTTAGCCTTTGTGTTACCAAAATTAAATCCCAGACCCTACCTCTGGCTATACCTGAAGAATGGGCATAGAAGTACTATGACTGTTGTTATGAGAACTATTAAGGTAATTAATTGAAAAGCGCTTAGCAAAGGTAAATGTTAAGTACAAGTAAACTGTTTTTATTGTTATCACTTTAATAATTATTGTTATCCACAGTCTGCTCAAAGCTCCCAAGAATAGGAACACTTTTTCTGACACATTGTGTTAGTGATCATTAGTTGCTGTTGAAAAGTTAGACCTGTCATATGGTTCATCATATGAAATGGGATTATACTAAAATCATCCACGATGACATGTTCTTCTAATTCTCATGACTTCCTGAGGAGAACTAAGTGCCAGCAGTGAGTGGGTTTCATCCTTCAACAAACATTTTCTTTTCCTACTGTGATTTATTTTGGATCCTTTGGTTTTCTGAAGGACTTGCCTTAGCATTGAGCTGCACATGACCGATCTTCACCGTTGTCTTTTTATAGGATATAGAAGTATTTGCTGTGGACAGTATTGCTTCTCTTTCCCTTATGCAAGCCCACATTTGTGTGTAATTTTAAAGGAGTTCATTATTATGTTGTTGATTTTTTTTCCTAGTCCATCAATAAGGCAATGGAGAAGGACCATGAAGAATATAACATTGGTGTCCTGGACATCTATGGCTTTGAGATATTCCAGGTAAGACCAGTTTGAATGTCTGGGTGTTAGAAGTTTCTGTACAATGAGTGGGGAAGAAAAAGAAAGAGGGCTCAGGTTTGCTTGTAGCGGTTCTTCATGTACTTTGCTGAATTAGTGTCTCCTAAAATATAAACTATGGTAAGAAACTACATTGTAATCCCAAAAGCACACAGTTTGAATCCATTAGCTGCTCCAAGGAAAGATGGACAGTCTCCTCCCAGGTAATTTACTGTCTTTGAAAACCAGCTGGAGGGTCAGTTATGGGTTGGTTCTGACTTAATAAAACACAACACCAGCAAATATAAACAAGGGAGCTCTGGTAGCTTAGTGGTAAGGAGTTGTGCTGCTAACTTAAAGGCATGCAGTTCAAATCTACCTGCTGCTTGGCGGGAGAAAGATGGACAGTCTCCTCTCATGTTGTTTACTGCCTCTGAAAACCCTCTGAAAGGTGAGCTATGGGTCAGTTCCGATCAATGGTACGTAATGACTACAACAATAACAAGTATAAACTATTGCTCTTTGTATGACTGCAGCCAATGTTAATTACTGTTAAGGCTCTTCTCATTGGAAGCACTTCACTGAAGCACTCAAGAAATTACTTTTTAAAAGTTTTTGTGCAAACATAACTTTTTTTCTTCTCTTTTTCCAGAAAAATGGTTTTGAACAATTTTGTATAAATTTTGTTAATGAAAAATTACAGCAGATCTTCATTGAACTGACATTAAAGGCAGAACAGGTAAAAGATCCCTGTTTTTTCAAATGCATTTGGTTTCATAAGATATAGGCTTCTCTCCTTAATAGATTTGGGTCTGGGTCTTGTATTCAAAATAGATCTAATACAGTTAAACAGAAAAACCATACATTATTATAGCATTTTAGTCTGTCAACTGTAAACTCCATCTGCTGCTTTTTCTTTCTCCTCTGAGCAAGAGATGGCAAGTCAGACACATGACTGGCTGGTTTTACTCTAGTCTGACTCATTGACCAAATGGAAACTTAGTTCCAACCCCAATTGTCTATGGGTCTATGGCATATACTGCGTTCCAAAGGATAAGTTTGGTTTTCTCAGATTCTCTCCTTTCTCAATCTTCCATAAAAATAAGAGTACTTTTAACAAAGTTGATATTCTTAATTCTACCTTGACATAACCTGTGTTACTTTTTGTTTCTTCTAAAAGTCAGGTGTAAATTCCGTCTTACCCCTGATGCCCTTTTAAAAGCCATTTTAGAGTTGTTTTAATTTGGGGACTGTTCATATCTCTGTTTAAGAAATGTTTATGTCTCATAAACCTCTTCCCTAGAATTCCAGTCCTCTACCCAAGAGTAGAGCAAAATAGCTAATGACCGAATTAGGCAACAGCTCGATCATATAGGGAATTTTGTCGATTATGGAAAAAGACTGTATCTTGTATTAACTATAATGGAAGCCTGGATTATGGATCACAGCTCAACATAAAGAGAACAGAAGCCTCAAAAGCAGCATCATGATAAAGAAAAGATTGACATTTCCAAGGATTTCTTTGAATCCACAGTCAACAGTCATGGAATCAGCCACCGGAAAAAATCAAATGGCATTGCACCAGGCACACCTGCTGCCAGGCACCTCTTTCAAGGGCTGAAAAACAAGGCTGCCGGACAAATAAGAAAAGCTGGCCTGGATGAAGTGCAGCTGGAATGCTTCTTGGAGAATGGATGATGAGGCATCACTCACATACTTTGGCCATGTTGTCAAGAGTGGCCGATATCTGGAAAAGGCTATCATGCTTATTCAAATAAAGGGTCAGCCAAAAAGAATAAAATAAAAAGGAAGACACTCGCCGAGGCGGATGGATACAGTGGCTGCTCGGTAGATGCAAGCTCAGCAGCAATTGTGAGGGGCTGCAGTATCTGGCAGTACTTCATTTTGTTACACACAGGATCGAAACACACTTGATGGCTCCTGACAACAACATGCTGGAAAACTTTGATAAATTTTAGGAAGGAAATTTATATGACCAGATTTGTTTTCCATAATTTTGCAAAGGTTATTAATTCTATTAACCCAGTAATCAGGGGAAGCATTTGAAAATCACATAGGACAGTGCAATAGAGTGGGCAGAGAGTGGTGGAGATTTGAAGAACAGTGGTAGAAGTAGAGCTGGCATTATGGTGAGAAGTCATCATTTAGAGAGTTAACCAACCGGTTCATAGCAACATTATTCCCCATCGCAAGAACATGGAACCAACCCAAATGTCCAACCACAAATGAATGGATTGAGTAATTATGATGCATCCACACAATGGAATACTACACAGCACGCAGGAGCAATTACTTTGTAAATTATTGCAATTACTTTGTAAATTATTACCTAACTTGGGAGGGACTGGAGAGCATTATGCTGAGTGAACTAATTCAGTCCCACAAGGATAAATATTGTATAAAACCATTATTGTAGAATGAATATAAGAATCCAAGAGGGGTGGGAGAGCAGGAAGCAGAGGGATGTGGAGGTGCGGGGGTGGTGGGATGGTGGTAATTAATCATCAGGCTGTACAATTTGATGTGGGGAGGTGAGGAAAATGGAAAGAATTTGTTCGAATTAGTATTTGAATTTTGTAAATAAACTAATAGGGAAAAAACAAGCTAAGAAGAAAAGAGAGGATGGGTTGATACATAGAGGTATGGCCTGAACAAAAAGACCCATTGTTGAGACCATTCATTAAAAGGTAAGATTAAGAGAAGAGTCAGCTGAGTAAGATGGGAGATGTGGAATCAAAACTATATTCTGAACATGGTTAGTGTGGCCTATCTATCACTACATCCAAGTGGAGATTCCAGTCAGGCAACAGAATATGTGAATCTGAACTCGATGGCGAGGTCTGGACAAGAAAAATTAATATACAAGAGTTGGTCTATGAGTGTTATTTCAAACCTAGAAAATGAGAAAGAAAGACGATTAGGAGACTAGCCCTGAGACTCTCCATCTTATAAAGAACTGGAATGAAGAACCAATAAGAAGATCAGCAGGCAAGGCCAGTGAGGAAGGAGGAAGACCATGTGGTCTGCTTCAGATTTAATCAGAGTGAGGGGCTTTACATTTTAAGTACCCTAGATGCTTGTCTCTATATTCATGACCTACATTAAATACTCTGCCATGTGAAATTGCCAATAACTGTCAAAAATGATTGTGGTAGCGATTTCATATTATTCAATCGAGATGCATAGTAATTACTAGGCAGTGAATTGTTCCTGTGGTAGCATGCCTTAGGAGAAAAATGATAAAATTGATGTTCCAAGTCTTTATTCAAAGATATTTGCGTTTTTGTCATGTATGGTGATTTCTGTTCTTCTGATCTCTATCTGTGTATGTCTCCAGTCTATTGAACGTGAATTCCTGCTTTCTGCCTTTCAGGAAGAATATGTTCAAGAGGGAATAAAGTGGACACCCATTGAGTACTTTAATAACAAAATTGTGTGTGACCTCATAGAGAACAAAATTGTAAGTGTTGATTGGTGGTTGTCTTTGCTCACCGGTTTACCTAAAGAGAGTTTTGTTCCCTGTCCCTGTTATTGCATACATGAAATGATAGCCCTGATTTACAGAGATTTTTAGCAGCTACATTCCCTTTGTGTACGTCAGTATGTGGGGATATAGAACAATAGGTTTTATTTTAATAATCATGAAGATATTGTTATGAATAAAATGTTACTAAATCCCATGAGAAGACATCTATCACTTATGTAGATGGTATAACCAATACTAAAACTTCTAGGACTTTAATCATAAGAAAGTCTGCCAAAGAAAATAAGCAGCAAGATAGAAACTCCATATTTTTATAAGAGCCCCAACCTGGAAACTGCAAATACTTTAAGTAATACAGTCATTGAATAGACTGTGCTGTATCAGAGTAGGTGATTATAGCTAATAAAATAAGCATAAAAATTATGTGAAAAATGAGAAGTTACTATAAAGTAGTATATTGTGATAAGGTTCAGTGCATAATATTATGTGCGCAGTATGTACATGTTTTGTAGAAATGATATCTATTCAGAGAGAGATTATGTGCATTCAGAAATGAAGGACGGCCAGAGGCTTTCCTTTTGGGTTTTTTAAGTCACCTTGATACAAATAAGAAAGAGCAGATGATAATCAATGAATCACATAGAATAAAACTGCAGGGAATTAAATAGCCTTTCCTTCATCTTTAGATCTAAGTGGCGAGTCTCTATTTGTAGCTATTAATTACCTTCTTACTCAAGGGGAGAGGTTGACTTTCAAGATAGTATCTTTAAATTTAAGGAACTATAGCATAACTTAAGAAAGGGTGGGAAATGGGGAGCTCTGGTGGCCTAGTGGCAAGGAGCTGCAACTACAATCCCAGAGGCGCACGGTTCAAATCCACCAGATGCTCTGCCGGGGAAGGAGGGGCAGTCTCCTCCTGCACCAGTCAGATCTGATTTGACGGTACATTCACACACAAAAAAAATAATAAAATTAAAAAAAAAGAAAGAAAGAAAGGGTGGGAAAAAGAAAAGACCTGCTGAGTTTTGCGTCTTTGAACCTCGGTGATGTGGAGTCTTGCTTTCTTGGTCCCCACAGAACCCTCCTGGGATCATGAGCATCCTGGATGACGTGTGTGCCACCATGCATGCGGTGGGCGAGGGCGCGGATCAGACACTGCTCCAGAAACTCCAGATGCAGATTGGGAACCATGAGCACTTCAACAGCTGGAACCAAGGCTTCATTATCCACCATTATGCTGGGAAGGTATGTCCAGAGCATAGGATTTCCAAAAGAAAAGGCAACTCTTTCCTTTTCATTATCTACCAGTGTTAAGCCTTTGAGTCTCTGTCATATTATGTAGCAAAGTACATCAATGCCTATATTGTTTAATCTCATCACTACATTTTATTCCATTAACGAATAGGACCCATGATGTATTTGGAGGGCAGGGACAGGTGAGCAAAAGATGGTGTCCACCACTGTGTATTCTCTTGTAAGCATGAATCACTCTAGAATGTAGAGTCCAAACACTCTTGTCTTTCCTACTGCTGAAATAAGAAGAAAAAAGCAACAATTAAACCAGTGCCAAGTCTTGGTCATCTCTGCATAGAGTTTGTAATAGCTAATTATTTTTTTTTAATAGCTGAATTTTGAGAAGTAGGTCATCAGGCATCTTTCTTCTGAGGTGCTTCTGGTAGGTGCAAACTGCTAACCTTTAGGTTAGTAGCTAAGCACTTGGCTGTTTGTGCCATCTGTGGAATCTATGACAATCCCAAACCTGTAACAATAAGGGCCAATTGCTCACATTTGGTGTTTGTTCTCATGAGAGAAATAAGTGTTAACTGCCTACTGGATGCCGGGCACTGCTCAGACATTAATGAAATCAAGATTAGTTGGGTTTCTCTCCTGGTCCTATAAAAATATGCTAGTCTTACCTTCACCCCAACTAGGCACTTGTTAACCAGAGTCCCTGGTTAGTGGAAGTTTATATGGATTGAGGCACCCCTTCAGCCATAACTTCTGGGAGAAAGAAAAATGCCTTAGATGACGTGGCCCATTAACTAAAATCCAGGAAAAGGCTACATTTATTCCTTAGACAATCCCAGTAGATCCATTGAAGAAGGAGTATGTGGTCTTGAGATTGGAGTCCCAGTCAAAGGTCATCTAGGCCATCAGATGCCACTCATCAGTGTGTGCAGGCCAACCCCGCCTAAGTCAGCTCACAGCTGGACTGAAACATCACCACTGTAATGTGATAATCGGTGATGAACTCTTAAATGCTGCCTCAGGAAGTAGACACAGTAGGGTGAGGGTAAGTTTGCCAACACTGGCTTTTGTTCAGTGAAAGATATAAAGAATAAAATTAGATCTCTTTCCATTTTTGTTCAGGTATCCTATGACATGGATGGCTTTTGTGAGCGGAACCGTGATGTGCTTTTTATGGATCTGATAGAGCTTATGCAGAGCAGTGAGCTGTGAGTATGTTTAGCCTCATCCGATGTGGCATGTTGGTTTCATCAAACTGGTTCTATTAAAACAAGTGTGCGGTATCTGAGTGGTCAGCATCGTGTTTATAATTGGACAGATTTTTAAAAAGAACTTTCCTTTTGTAAATCTCCATCTTTCTACTGTAGCCCTGGGATTTCTCTGCACTCAAACCCCACATGCCCTCTGTATGCTCTTGAGGGTCCTGAACTTTATTTTGACCATACTATCAGGAATAGGTGACCATCCAGAAGTTGGGTTGGGGTGACCATCTCCTATCAACTAAGAGTGGAGCATCCTGGTTGTATAACTTTGCCCTTGGGATATCACTCAAAGATTCCCTGTCATTATTCAATTTTTTTAAAAGGGGCTAACATTTTAGGGAGCTGTGGTGGCTTAATGATAAGGAATTGCACTGCCATCCAAAAGGTACATAGTTTGAACCCACCCACTGCTTCACAGGAGAAAGAATGGGTAGTCTCTTCTCATGCCATTTATTGCCTCTGAAAACCAGCTGGAGGGTCAGCTATGGATGGATTCTGACTCAATGGTACACAACAACAGCGGTTTAGGAAGACTCAAATTACCTTGACTCTTAAACTTGAGTTATTTCTCAACTTGGAAACTCACAGAGCAAAGCAGGGGTTTTCTCCAACATTCTTTTTAACTCCTGAAACCCAGCCTGAGCTATCATAGCCTTGCAAGCAGCTCAAGCTAAGCATTTTTAAGTGTTGAAACAAGAAGTTAATTTTTATGTTTTTCTGTTGTTGCTGTTCTTGTTGAGAATATACACAGTGAGTATGGTCCGGTTCAACATTTCTACATGTGAAATTCAGTGAGATTGGTCTGGCTATGAAGTTTCCCTAATCTATAACAAGCCTTCTCATTTTATAAGCCTAGCTTCTAGGGATTTCCACGTCTTTTTTATGGAGGATGTGTTCCATTTCATGGTCAGAAATTGTTATTCTTTGTTTAACTATCTTCTCTCTCCCACTGCTACACTCTTTTTCCTCATGCCATACTTCTTTCCATCTAGTTTCCTAATCATGAGATTTCAAATTTCATTTATGGACATACCTCTGAGATACTGTAGGTTTGGTTCCAGATCAGTATAGTAAAGCAAGCAATTTTATTGTTGTTGATGTTGTTTTCCAGTGCATATAAGTTTACACTGTGGTTTATTACAGAAACTGTGATGGCACTATGGTTAAGCCATGCAGCTGCTGACTAAAAGGTCAGGAGTTCCAGCCCACCAACTGCTCTCCAGGAGACAAATGAGACAGTCTGTAAAGATGACAACCTTGGAAACACTGAGACAGCTCTACGCTGTCCTACAGTGTTGCTCCAAGTTGGAAACAACTTTTTTCTTTTGATTGATTGGGTTTGATTTTTGGATAATCTACTAAGCGTGCAATAGCATTATAAAAGAGTTGTAAAAAAGAGTATTATCTAAAGGGTAACACAGAGACGTGAAGTGAGTACATGCTGTTAGAGAAATGGTGCCAGTGGACTTGCTTGATGCAGGATTGCCACAAATTTTAATTTTTTTAAAAACAACCAGACAAGCAAAAAATGTAATATGCAGAAAGTACAGTAAAGTGAGGTATGCCTATAATGCAAAATACATAAAATCTATTTGCTTTTTGCTAAAAGAGTGTGTGGTTTTCACGGCAGTCAAGTGTACACATATTTGCAGAAATGTCTTTCTTCTTTAAAATTAAAATTCCTGGGCAAGTTTGAGAGCTATTAATGTTCCCACATAAACGTCTGCCATATAGGCAGCCTATTGCTTTGTAAGCACATTTATTGAAAAAAAAATCTATATTTGTGTCTGGTCAAGTTATAAGTAGTTTTTGGGGAGAGTTCCTTGAAAGCTCAAGATGTGCTACATTTTCTTTAGGAATGAGTGGATTTGACTTCAGATCGCTAATTTACGTGGAGGTCTTTACTCAGCTGCTCACTAGGTGTTTATTAAACACCTATTGTGCTCCAGGCTGCAAACTCCTGGACTAAAAAAAAAACTAAGTCTTACTCCACCCAGCCCTTCTGGTAAGGAAGCATGTAGACAAATGGGATTTGATTAGAATGACAGATTAACATTATATAGGCAATCAAAGTACTTGGGATTTGTTATAGCACCTTTTAAAGTTACTCAAAAACAGTTCCTCTAGTCAGAACATGTTATATCTTGATTAAACGATACTTATCTGTGAAGAATATGTCAGGCTCCAAGACAGACTTACATTGGATTTTCTGTGTGGAGGTGGAGTGGTAGATGGAGTGTGCTAATGGCATCTAGTAAGTAGGAGCCTGGGTTGCTCTTCAACATACTGTAATACACAGGTTAGCCCCTCACAAGGAAGACTCCTCCAGCATGAAATATGAGTAGTGCCAGGGCTGAGAAACCTGCTCTCAGAGAAAGCAGAATCTGCACTGGCTCTGGACTGTTCATGCAGTTCCTTGATCCTCCCATCTCACTTATCAAACCAAACCCTTACTGACCTTCCTTTGTTGTGGTGTAACTTCAAAGTGGACACCTCTAGGTCTGCAAATGAGGACGTCCTAAGGGGGGAAGTGTTGACATTATTTCTTCAGTCTTCTGCTTGTATCTTGGAGTTCTTTCTTTTGTCCTCTGCTCATTTCCTGGAGTCAAGTCTTGATAGCTTGCCCTGTGAGTCAGATGGGCTTTCTGTAGCCAAAGTTATGTGCTTCTGGATGACCCTTTACTCCTTCCTCTAGGGAAGCTGGTTTCAGCCCCGAAGATACTTAGTGATTGCTAATCCATTCTCTTTCTGTTTTTCCAGACCTTTCATAAAGTCTTTATTTCCGGAAAATCTGCAAGCTGACAAGAAAGGGCGCCCAACTACTGCCGGGAGCAAAATAAAGGTTCGTCCTCTTTTGGGAAGTCTATAGATTCCTGTAAGAGCTAGCGTTTTCTAAGAGTTGGGAACTGTATCCCCAGGCCCGGATAAGGTTGAGGAGGATGTCAGGACGTGGTTAGATAGATACCAGGAGTGATATTGCTGCTTGAGGACAGTTATAGGATGCAGAGTTTGACTTGGCTGTGCCAAAATCCCAAAGGATATTAAGTGCCTTGACAGCTGAATAGTCTACAGATAATAATCAGCTACTTTCTAAGAAGAAACTGCCTTAAAATACATGTTAAACAGTCAGGGAAATTTTGTAATTTGGATGCACATTTTGAATTTTGATAATGGTTTTCTAAGCCAGGCCAGAGAACTTGACAGTTTAGAGAATTCTTTTGGGTTTTATGTAGACAATTATGTATCCCTCATCTCTGCGTGTTGCAGGCCATAACATGGCTGGGGATTCCAGAACATCTGGCCACATGGTGCTGCAAAGTCAGAGGGAGTTTATATGGATTCTCACAGTGTTTCTTGGGATTTCCCCTCACCCCCCAAGAGCAATGCACTGTGTCATCTGAGCCATTGTGGTGAAATCCACACTCCTGAATTGAAGAGTCAGTTGCAAAAATTGTCATTATGCCAGTTTTGGAAAATCAAACCTTTTAAATTTTTAAACATGCAAAAATCAAACCTGTGGTCATGGAGTCGATTCCAATTCCTAGTGACACTGGAGGGCAGGGAGGACTGCCCCAGGAGGTTTCCAAGGTGGCAGTCTTTATGGAAGCAGATTGCCACATCACAACAGCTGGTGGATTTGAACCACAGACCTTTGAGCAGTCAAGTACTTAACCACTATGCCACCAAGCCTTCTCATCAGTTAAATAGCCCCCAATTTTATATCTAAGGAGATTCCAGAGTGGCTAATAATAAAGAGCTTGGGGGTGTGTTCACCTGCTTTTAAATCCCAGCTCAGACTTGAACTAGTTGTGGGATTGCCAGCATTCGACCTAACCTCTGAGTGTCTGTTGTTTATTTGAGTAAGATGATCCTACCACCTGTGTCAAGATGATAAATAAATTTGGCAGTCTATTGAAAGCACTTAGCATCGTGCCTGAAATGTAATAAGCACAAAATGTGTGCCAGCTCCTGTACATTTATCCAGTCAGTCTCCTTTCAGTCCACCATCTTATTTGTTTCTGCCTTGTTGTTTGTGGTCGTTTGTATTTGCAGATGTGAGCCCTCTGCCTCAACTTTCTAGATCTTTATATCCAGAGTGTGCTTTTCCATCTTCACCATGCACTCCTAGACAGCCCTGGCCTCTCAGGCACCCACTGTTATCATTGTCTATCCTGTTCCCTGTCTCTTCTCTGAGTGCTTTGTGTGTGAAATCCTACCTCTCAGGTCACTGGTGAGCTTCCTGAGCGCTAGCATAGTGGAAACGATGAGTGAAAGTTCACAAAAGTGAGAAGTTTCCTGTCAGGAAGAACCTGGGGTTTTATGGTGGAGGACAAAGGTGTCCTGGGTTTGGATTGGATGGTAGAGACCTCTGGGATTTAGGGACCTCATAGACACAGAGGGAGAGAGATTCTGAAGTCCTAGGAGGATAACTGAGTTTATTCTCTGAGTCAGCTGGAACAGAGAGTTGAGGGGGCAGAGCAGGTGGAAATCTCATGAGATCCAGATATTAATGGCTGTATGAACTTTCTGACTCATGACTTCAAGGCCCTGGATAAGAATTAGCTCTTGAGTTGGAAAATCTAGTCACAAGATGGTCACATTCTGATCCAAGGGGCGCAGATCATCAAGATTGCTGTGACTCACTTGCAAGTGGTCTGACCTCTTAGCCAAGTTTATTCCCTGTACAAAGAAGAGGATCGTGGGAATATTTTTCCTCCTCCTTGGAAAGCTTGACTTCTTTCTTTTTTTTCTACTCTTTGCTTTAAATGCCCCAAAATTGTCAGTCTTCTGGGCAAATCTCAAGCCACCACGTAGGGAGGGCAACCTGAAGCCAGCCAGTATATCCAGCAGGAGTCGAACTCTCCATGCCTCTCTCCACACCCTCTAATTGTACCTTGTTTGGGTTGTGTGACTTCAGTCGATTTGATGCTCTATCTCTGTGTAGTAGTGAAATTCTTGTTACAACAGTTACAGAACAGAGAGGCTATATGGCGTTAGTGTTTGGCAGCAGCTACTATGGACCAGGCCAAGTATTTCACTTTCTTGGTGGAGCAGTGGAGAAGGGAATTCTTTTTTTTTTATGTCTTTTTTTTTTAATTTTTCTTTTATTATTTTATTATATTTTGTGTGAGTGTACCGTCAAATCAGATCTGACTGGTACAGGAGGAGATTGTCCCTCCTTCCCCGGCAGAGCATCTGGTGGATTTGAACCGTGCGCCTCTGGGATTGTAGTTGCAGCTCCTTGCCACTAGGCCACCAGAGCTCCCCTGAGAAGGGAATTCTTAATCCCAGGAACACGGATAATCATTAAGAACAGAGTCAGAACTGTGCCAAGAGCACTGCTGTGCCCTTTTTATGACAAAGGAAAGTGTCATATTCTGTCCCTCTCAGCCAGTGACACTGTGCAGTATGCTGAACAGAAGGGAACTTGTGAAAAGTTTAATGCTCTGCCTCTCAGGCTGCTTCTAGTTCATTTTATGGCTGGTCATGAAGATGAGACATGGGGCAGCTAACATCAGCTAGTTAGGAATCTCAATTCTTGAAAGAATATTCTCGTGTACTTGATACAATGATTTTGTTCCTCTGCTCCATTTTGGCACCCGTCCATCTATCTACATAATCAAATCTCTGTTGAACATCTTACTCCATACACCAGGAATTCTATTAATGTGCTACATATAATTGTTATTGTGGTTAGGTGCCGTCAAGTCAGCTATGACACATGCAACTCTATAAACAACAGTTCAAAACCTTGCCCTCTCGTGCACCATCTTCAGTCTGTGCCAGACTTCAAGCCATTGTTTCAGTCATTACATCAATCCATCTCTTTGAGGATCTTCCTGTCTTTTGCTGACACTCTCCTTTTCCCAGCATGACATCTCTTTCCAAGGGCTGACACCTCTTAACAACATGCCCAAAATATGTTAGATAGAGTTTCAACATCCTTGCCTCTAAGGAGCACCTGGTTACACTTCTTCGAACTCAGATTTGCTTGTTCTTTTTGGCAAGTCCATGATTGTGTCCAGTATCGACACCACAAATCAAAGACATCAATTCTTCTTCAGCCTTCCTTATCCACTGTCCAACTTTCACAAGCATGAGAAGCAATTTAAAAACACCACGCCTTAGATGAGGCAAAATTTAATCTTTAAATTGATAGCCTTGCTTGTTAGCATATTAGAGAGATCTTTGACAGTAGATTTTCCCGATGCAGCACATCTTTTGATTTCTTGACTGCTGCTTCCATGGGTGTCAATTGTGGATTCAAGCACAACTTAATCCTTCACAATTTTAACTTACCTCCATCTATGATGATGTTACCCACTGACCTAATTGTGAGGATTTTTTCTTGATGTTGAAGCATAATCTATATGGAAAACTATAGAGTGTTCAGACTTACAGAGACAGAGAGGATGCTGATGCAAGAATCAAGTCAGTGGGCATATGGGCTTCAACTTTGAGGGATCTGGCTAAAAATGTGTAAATTTTGCATTTTACTTGTAAAAAAAAATAAAAGAGGCAAAATCTCTGGAAACCATAAATTCAATAGATTTCTTTTACTACCTGTAAGACATTTTTCAGGGATCCCTTGTGGCTTAGTGTCAACAGCTGCCCTGCAATCTGGAAGGCACATGGTTCAAGTCTATCAGCTGATCTGCAAGACAAGGATGAGCGGTCTCCTCCTATGTGATTAACTGCCCCTGAAAACCTGCCAGAGGGTCAGCAATGGGTCGGTTCTGACTCGATGGTACACAACAAGGAGACCTTTCTTAGAGACACAAAACCATGGCCCAGTCTCGTACATCCTCCACATCCATAATCTTTTATGCAAGTCAGATATCATCCTATTAATATCCCTGAGATATTAGAATTAAAGGAAATTTAAATGATTTGGAAGTAAAACTTATGTTCAAGGTCTTTGTGTATATACTTTTATTATACAATAATGCTTTAAAATTTTATCTATTGGATATAATTAACAGAATATGGAATTTGTGGAAATTCTCATAACTGTGATTATAAATGGATAACAACAACAACTATATGAAATAACACTTGATTTTGAGGCTTTTCTGAATTCTATATTGTTATTACTGGAAGGCACCAACAATACAATTTGAACCAAAGATCAGTGCTACAAGGAGACAGGGTCTAACTCATGTGTGATCACCTTTGGCTAGGCTACAGCCTTACCCACTTGAGGCTGGACCTTCAGTGGTGTGTGCTGTGCTGATACGGGGTAGTTGATCTAGTTGGGTTTATTTTAAAGTGGTTGACTTTTAACAGACTTTTAACATTTGTTCCAGCCTTGAACTAAAAATATTTAAAGTGTTCTAGGCCACCCCATTTGTTAACACATGGGGAAGCTGAGGCTCAGTAAAATCTAGTGATTAATCACATCGCTTCAAATAGCATAATCAAAACCACAGCATAGGCCTGCTGATGATCTATATTGAGGTTAGAATCAAAGGGATTTTTACCCTAAATCTTATATCACTTCCCTGTCTGCCTCCATCCTTAGACTCATGTTCCTATTAGCAAATACCATTTACAGTTCTCTGTATAGTTTAGAGGTCTGGTGGCCTAATGGTAAGGAGTTTCACTGTCAACCCAAAGGCAAATGGTTCTAATCTACTACCTGTTCCTCATGAAAAAGATGGACAGTCCCTTCCTATATGATCTATAGTCTCTGAAACCCCACTGAAAGATCAGCTATGAGTTGGTTCCGACTTAATGGCACATAACAACAACATTTAGATTTGTGGACCCAGTGTGGTAGGATTCAGGGTCAAATCTAGATTCTGCTTTACCTCAGCAAAAATCTAAAGTTTACTCATATCTTTAAAGACTGGGGTAATTTTGATGGTTGATATGTATTTCTGCTTACTGAAATTAACAATCCCTCCAACATAATTTCTTTTATATAGCACACTAAATTAGTAATTAGCTGAAAAGTCACAAGTTCATAAAAGCTCAGAATCGATCAATTTTTTGCACACTATTTCATCCACCTTCTTCCTCACTATATCCTTTTTATAAACATACAGACTTGCAAACTATTATCTTTGTTAGGAATGCAGCACGGCACTGTGCCGAAGAAACAGACGTCAGTGGTTCACGGAGCTGAGTTCAAGCCACGGTTCTGCTGCTTACCATGAAGGATATTTTAATTCTTCGAGCCTCAATTTTCTTATCTTAAGAAGGAATTAGTAACAGTAGCTACCTGCTAGAGTTGCGGTGAAGCATAAATGCGATAGTTTATAGATGTTCTGCATTGCACGCTCTGTAAAGGTTACCCATCATACTTTGTCAGGAACTATGTCAAGTGACATTAGCTTAAGTCACATTCGCCTTTATATTTTTTTAATGCTAAAATGAAAGCAAGATAATGTTAATGATCCCTTTTCACTTCTGTTTTAGAAATGCCTAGGACAAAAATATTTCCATGTTCTTATTGGTTTTCAAATTTGGGGTGAAGGGATGGAGTATAGGCAGCCTTATTATAAGCAATCTGTAGACCCTCTCAACTTCAGCTTATGTGCTGCAAAGGTAGCTATCCTCTGAGGAGCAAGAATCTACATCAACAATGTTATGAGTCAATTTACTTTTTCATCACGGAGCTTTGCTTTGATTATGTAAGCTCTGCAGCTTTGGCCTTGATTTCAAGCATTCTTTTCTTTTAAACATCTAAACAGAGAACTTAATTCTCCAGTGAACTTTGTTGTTGTTGTCTTTGTTTATTGTAAATTCATATGTATTGGAAGTTTTGCCATTTCAACATTCTTCATCTATACAGCTCAGTGACGTTAACTTAGATTCATCACACTGCTCAGCCATCACTTTTATTCATTCTCAAATTATTCCATTAACACCAGGGAGCATCTTGCTTTAAGTATATGCAGGAATTTTTCTTGGTGTTTCAGATTTCCCAACTCCATGATGACAGAAAAGTCCTAATGGAAGGAGGATTGTCTTATGCAAGTGAATCACTTCTGCTCGCTTTTTTTTTCTGGCTCTCAGGACCCTTTTACCATTTTCTTTTAGAGGTTTTTCCCTCTTCATGCAGATTTTCTTGGATGTAGGGTTTGTGCCTGCACCCACAAGGCGAACCCTGCTGTGTGGTGTGGTGGTAATGCTGACATGGGCTAACCAAGTTTGAGCTTCTCATGATTTGAAATGCACCGTAAGCAGTTTCAACTTTCTTTACATAAACTTTTCTGTTTGTACCCAGTTCCATTTTGCTCAGCCAATAAATAGGTGATATTAGATAATCTCATATGAAACATTTTAGCTTTGAAAAGAAGTAAGTTTATGCCCATTGAAAGTGCTCAAAACAAGTCTGTATGTTTATATAAAGGATATAGTGAGAAGAAGGTGGATGAAATGGTGTGCAAAAGATTGATCCATTCTGAGCTTTTATGAACTTGTGTCCTTTAACAGTTAATTGCTATAATTTTTAATATGGTTCTTTATTGATCAGTTTTTCAGCACAGTACAGGGAAATTTCATAATTTCCATTTGCAAGTTATTTTGGGGGAAAATTATTTAATGAGAGCAATGCAAATGTTCTAAATCGCAAGAAAATGAACCACATTTGTTTATAACTGATGTGCTTCCTTGTACCATACAAAAACAATTGTATGCAAAGATTTATTCTATTTTCTTGTTTTATTTTATTAACTCTTCTAAAGAAACCTAATTATTTTCTAAGATCAAATTCCAAACACATTTAGCAGTGTTAAAAATCATAAAAGTCAGCAGAGCTTTAAGAAAGTTAAGAAGGCCTAACTTAAGTTTAATGAGTAAGTTGTCATAAAGATTAATTTCTATCTATATAGTTCACACTGAAGTATTCTTGGAAAATTGGGCTCTTTGGGAGGAAGTTCTTTATCATTAATGTTATTACTCTTCCTTTCTAGAAACAAGCCAATGACCTTGTGAGCACCCTGATGAAATGCACACCCCACTACATCCGCTGCATAAAGCCCAATGAGACTAAGAAGCCCAAGGACTGGGAGGAAAGCAGGTATGATGAACACGGCAGGTGAAGATGCAGAAGCTGGCTTCAGTGAGTCCTAGTTATCTAGTGTTCCTATAACGAAGCTTCACAAGTGGGTAACTTTAGCAAACAGAATTTGTTTTTTTACTGTTTAGAAGGATAGAAGTTCAAATTTTAGCTGGCTTTAGGGGCAGGAGTTTTTTTCCTGGTTTGGGGAGTTTCCTAACCGAGGAACCTGAATCAAAAGGATGAGCTCCTCTCCTGGCTCTTCTCTCTCAGTCATCCTGAGATCTCCTCTTCTTTGCTTGCTTTTTGCTCCATTTACCTCTTGTGAGATAAAAAGGTGCTCAGGTCACTCTCTAGGAAAGCTCCCTTACATCAGTTCACAACTAGGATATTTAGGGTCTAACCTACACCCTTACTCTTCTTGCCACTGATAGTTTATCAATTTAAGTTGCTTTTCATGCCCTTACGTCTTAATTTTTTGAGGACCAAGCCTATGTAGTCATCCTTTGGTATCTGAGGGGTTTTGGTGCCAAGACCCCAGGAGATACTAGAATCTTCAAATGCTTGAGTCTCTTATAAAAAATGGCATGTTGTTGTTGTTAGGTATTATTGAGTCAAGTATGACCCATAACAACAACAACCCTATGAAGAACACAGCTGAACTCTGACCCCTGCACCGTCTCATTATCTCAGACACAGTCGAACTCATTGCAGCAGTCACTGTGTCAGTTCCATCTGGTTGAGGGTCTTCCTCTCTTTTGCCAACCCTCCACTTTTCCAAGCATGGTCTCCTGTTCCAAGGAATAACCAGCCCCTCCTAACAAGAGGTCCAAAGCTTTATTTATCATCTTTGCCTCCAAAGAGCATTCTGGTTGCACTCTCTCCCAGACATATATGTTTGTTCTTTTGACACAGATATTCAGTAGTCTTCTCCAACACCGCAACCCAGAGGTATCCATTTTTCTACTATCATACCTATTCATTGTCCAGCTCTCAGATGCAAGTGACTGAAAGACCATGGCCTGGATCAGGCGTACCTTAGCCTTCAAACTGACATCATTATTCCTCAGTAATTTAGAGAGGTTCCTGACTGCAGACTTTCCCAGTGCAATGTGGGAAGATGTGAGTAGGTCATGTGAAAAAGCAATGCCATTTTCTTTGCATACTCCCACATACTTTAAATCATTCCTAGATTACTTATAATACCTAATACAATGTAAATGCTGTGTAAATAACATGTTAGGCTCCCTCTTAACTGTTAAAGGATTGCTCTGACCACTTAATTGCTTTTCCCCCTCTGAATGTTTTCAGTCCTGGTTGATTGGATCTGCAGATGTGGAACCAGCTGTTTCAAAGGGCTGACTATAGATCTCATTCTTCCTCTGTATCTTTTCTTACAGTAGTAGCAATGCCATTCAGTTCTGAATGAGCAATTTGTACTGTTGATCTTGGCTAGTCTGGAGCAGATTTAAAAATAAAATAAAACACCACAGAGTCGTGGTGGTTGCAGAATTAGCTTCGAGGACAATCTCAGTGCTCTCAGTTCCTGAGCAGAGCCCACAGGATGTGGCCGAGAATGCTTAGCTCAGGGATTGAAAGCGAATGCACAGGGAGCTGGTAAAAACCAAGCATTTACTGTTGTCATTAAGCAGCTGGGGATGAGCTTGAAGTTCTGTAGTTATCACTAAATAACAGAAGAGCAGAATAACTGTATCGGGGAGTGAAGTGGAGGAAAGATGGGGAACCCATGTGTTCAGTGAGTCCTTTCCTCTTAGACTTCTAGGAGACCCTGAGACACCAATATTTGGCATTTAGGGGAGTGGACCGTGCAGGATGAGATAAGAGTGCTGAATAAAACTAAAGTTAAGATTGTTGTTGTTGTTATGTGCCGTCAAGTCCCTTGTGACTCATTGCAACCCTATGTACAACAGCCCTAAACTCTGCTCTATCCTGTGCCATTCTCACTGTCTCCAACACACCCATCCTGATTACCCCAGTCACTGAATCAATCCACCTCCTAGAGGGCCTTTCCTTTGCTGTCCCTCCACCCTACCAAGCATGATGTCCTTCTCCAAGAACCGGTTTCTCCTTATAGCATGACCAAAGTACATTAGGCAAAGCCTCAGAATCTTTGCCTCCAAGGAGCAGCGTGGTTTAACCCTCTCAAGTATGAATCTGTTTGTTTTCTTGGCAATCCATGGTACATTCAATACTCTTCTCCAACACTAAAGCTCAAAGGCATCAATTCTTCTTCTCCCCTCCCTAGTCATTGTCCAGCCCTCTGATGCATAGCAAAGTGATTGCAAAGGCCATGGCCTGTATCAGACACACCTTAGTCTCCAGAGGGACACCCTTGCTCTTCAGTACTTTAGAGAGGTCCCTAACAGCAGACTTTCCCATAGCAATACATGTTTTAATTTCCTGCCTGCTGGTGCCAACAGTGTTGATTGTGGAGCCAAGCAGACTAAATCTGTGAACAATTTCAATCTCTTCGTCATCCATCCTGATGCTGCCAATTGGTCCAGTGGTGACAATCTTTGTCTTCTTGACATTGAACCTCAATCCATACTGAAGGCTGCAGTCCTTGACCCTCTGCAGCAAGCGCTTCAGGTTAAGATAGTGGCTAGATAATGTAGCTTTTTGTTCTTGGCTTGGGGAATTCAGACAAACATTCCTGAACTCACTATCCATAGGAACCTGAGAGGAGGGCTGGGGAGAGAGATCGGGCTAGGTGATGCTGGCCACAGGCATGAGATAATCAAGTTCCCAGGATTGGAACATACCAGGCTTCTTCCCTTTTGTCTTTTAGAGTACAGAAAACATAGGCTCTTTTAGGATTAAATTTGTAAGGGAGAACTGGGATTAAAATTTACAGCTGTTGATTACCTCCTGAGGGAGCTCTGCTGGCCCACCATGTAGTGAGTTTCTCTGCTAAAAGCAAAGGCAGCTGATTTGAATCCACCAGCAGCTCCATGTGAGAAAGATGGGAATTCACCTCCCATGTGATTTATAGCCTCCAAAACCCCCTGGATGGCCAGCTCTGAGTTGATTCTAACTCGATAGCAAAGAATTTGGTTTGATTGTGTTTTTGTTTTGTTTTGTTTTTAATTACCTTCTGAGTCTGAATCTGCTATAGAATTATTCTCATTACTGTATTGCTTGACAGTTTTTCTAGTAGTCAAGAAGTCAAAGCGGATATTACTGTATTTGCATTGCATCTTCTTCACAAAGGGTTAATCACTCTTATATTCCTTCAGCAGTTTCTGTTGGGATGTGGAGTCCCAATATCTTGAACATTTTCCTGGGTAGACTTAATTTGTCTTCTAGTTTTTTGTTTTTTATTTGACCAGCGGTTTTTAATCTTTTTCTTTCTTTTCTTTTGTCTTCTATTGTTTTGTGTGTGTGTTTTGAAATGTGTGGCTTCGTTTTCTCCTCTTTTGACCAAGAGGGAACAAAGCAGTGTTGTGAACTGGTGATGTCGTTCACAGGGAATTGCACTGCTAATCCAGAGGCTTCACCTCTTTAGCGGTGGAATCAATCAGCAGCTCCACAAGGAGAAAGGGGGTCAGTACTCTCCAAGGAATTTACAGCCTCCAAAAACCTGCTGGAAGGTCAGCTATGATTCGGTTACAACTTGTTGGCAATTAATTTTTGAGTTTAGATAGGTAGAAAAGTATTTTTATTTACCCTGTTACACTGGTTCTCAAACTTAAGCATGCAGCAGAACCCTGGGAGGCCTTGGCTAAACTGGGTTCCTGGAATCCCCTCCCCTCCACTAGAACTTCTCCTGCAATAGACTTGGGGAGGATGCTTAAGAATTTGTATTGTCATACAAATTCTAGGTGCTATTGGTTCTGCTGGTCTGGGTACCAGTTTTTGAAAACTTTGAAACTCATGTAGAGCAAAAGACTACACTGAAATTAGAGAAAACTGAGTTCAGGTGCTGGCCCCATCGCTGTCTAGTTGAAGTAAGAATTCATCTCCGTAGTCTGTTTCTTTTTAAATTGAGAGAATTAATCATGGCTAGAATCTCCACCAGATGATCGTTTTTCACAATTCTGTTTACTTTCTATTATATTAAAAAGAAAAACTTCATTGATTTCTATACAGAGTGACCTCCATTGGGTTTCCTAAGTATAAATCTGCCAACACCATTCTACACTCACCTGATAGACACACCCATCTCAGGCACATATATGTGCTCCTACAGTTGTTAGTGTTGTTATGTGCCTTCAAGTTGCTTGAGACTCATAGTGACCCTATGTTCAACAGCTCAGAACCCTGCTCTATCTTGAGTCAATTTCATTGTTTCCAACACCTTAACCTCATTACCCCAGTCAATGAGTCAATCCGTCTCATCCAGGGTCTTCCTCTCTTGCGCTGCCCTCCACTCTTCCAAGCACGATGTCCTCCTCCAAGGATTGATCTCCCCTGGCAACATGTCCAAACTATGTTAGATGGAGCTTCAAATACTTGCCTCCAAGTAGCAGCCTTCTCCAGAACAGAACTGTTTGTTCTCTTAGCAGTCCATGGTGTGTTCAGTACCCTCCTCCAGCACCACAGCTCAAAGGTAGCAATTGTCCTTCTGTCATTCATAGCCATTGTCCAGCTCTCTGATGCACAGCAAGTAATTACAAAGAACATGTATTGGAATAGGCACACTTTAGTCTCTAGACTGATAACTTTGTTCTTCAGTACTCTGGAGAGGTCCCTGACAGCAGATTTTCCCCAATGTAATCCATCTTTTTATTTTGTGGCTGCTGGAACCAAGAGTGTTGATTGTGGAACAAAGATAGCTGAAACTGTTAAAAATCTCTTTTTCTTCTCTGTATGTCATGACCAGTGGCAAGAATCTTTATTTCCTTGATCTTGAGCTTCTATGCTTATTGAAGACTGCAGTCCTAAGCCTTCTGCAGCAAATGCCTCAGGTCTTCCTCAGTTTCAGGTAGCAAAGTTGTGTCATTTGCATAATGCAGGTTATTAAGGAGTCTTCCTTCAATCCTGATGCCACATTCCTCCTCATGTCCATATAGTAGCAGAAGGTTAATGGAATAGACAACCCAGAAAGTCAAGTGTAAGAGTCTTAGAACCAGGGGTACCTTAGCCCATGCTTCCCACCACTTCAGACTTCATTCATCTTCCCTGCCTCAGCCCTTCTCAAAAGCATAGTCCTAAATGGAAAGATCTCACTTGTCTTACAAATGCAGCATTTCCCCTAGCATGCCCTCCTTGCTCCCAAGCACACTGCTCTATGCCAAGCCCACAATTTAGGCATTTTGCAGTAGCTACTGTCTAGTAGGTCTTCAGTTTTTGCCATCTTCTCATAAAACCTAGAGTGATTCATGAATATCAGGCAATGGAAAAATTAAGACTGTGGTTCATTTTATTTATTAAAACCTCATAGTCTTTTCCCAAGTGTTATTTTATTTTTTTTTATTACATCTCTTATTTGAATTGCAGCAAGGAACTTCATGGTATTAGTAGGCCAGTGCACACAGGTTTTAAGAAGCCCCAGTTTATTAGTGAGTCACACATTGGCTTTTGTTTCTAATAGGATTCCTCTGCCCTCATCCATTCGGGTTGGTTGTATGACAGATGGTCCCACTTCATGAAAGTTAAGTGTTGGTTGGTGTCTGAGTACTAGGTTGATGTCATAGGAAGGGCACTGTGCTTGGCTAACAGTGATTACATGCTCCATTGAATGGACCTTGGGGTTTTAGTTTGGTGAGGTTTGTTTTTTTTTTCCTTTTCCTGCTGAAAATGTGTTTTGGTTTGGCTTCTGGCAATTTTACTTGCCCTGGATTCTAAATTGCTGCCCCAGCAGAGGCTCAAGTATTGACCTACTTGAGTTAATGAGTTTGGGTAGTCATGAAGAAGACTCCTCCAAACAGGAGAAGGTGGCTCACCTGAGGGACAGAACTGGACAGAACCACCCTTGCTGGTGTTTAAAGCGGAGATGCAGCACTCCACATGAAGCGGAATCAACTCCAATCCTTTGTTGGCCTGAAATTTTAAATATGAAAATATTTGCTAACCCGATTGTCCTGCTGAAGAAAATGTCTTAATTATAATGGATGCAAAATGTTTTATCATGAGTAATTTTCTTTCCTGTGTGATTCATGGGAAAGGACCTTCCTGCTTAAATGGATGCATTCTCTTCGTCAGAAGTTTGGAGTAGGATCAGTATTTAAGAAAGTACATTAAAAAGAGCAAATTTCTGAAATAGCCTCATGTGTATTTCTATACTAGAGAAGAGGCAAGTAGGAAGTTTTAGATTGGAGAGAAAAGAAAAATTAACTACTTTGTGAGTCAAATCACTACTACTTTAGTTAATGAGGTATAGTCCTTTTCTCTCTCTGATGTATTTAATGCAAATGTGGATACTGAATACAAATCTTTCATATAAAAGCATTTGAAATGTTAGTTGGGGCAATGAGGGTTCAGTGGTAGGATTCTTGGTTTCCATGTGGGAGACCTGAGTTTGATTCCCTGTGAATGCTTATGTGTTGATAGGATGCTGAACAGGAGCAAGTTTCAGCGTCCCTTTCAGACTTAAGACAGACTAAGAAGAAAAGACTTGGTAATCTAAAATCAGCCATTGAAACCTTACAGGTCACGATAAGCCAATCCACAGCCAGTAATGGATATGGCACGGGAATGAGGAGTGTTCCTTCCATTATGCATGAGGTCACTGTGGGGGGGGCCAAAACACCTGCAATTAAGGGAGGACTGGGTCTAGTGGCAAGAAGCTGCACTGCAATCCCAAAGGTGTACGGTTCGAATCCACCAGATACTCCACAGGAAAAGGAGGGACAATCTCCTCCAGTGCCAGTCAGACCCGGTTTGAATCCACCAGATGCTCCACGGGAAAAGGAGGGGCAATCTCCTCCTGTGCCAGTCAGATCCAATTCAATGGTACACAACAAGAGACAAAAAACAAAAACAAACAAACAAAAGACCCACTTGCAATTATCTTAAATTCAAATTTGATATTTTTTCCCTTTCCCTGGTTGAAATTCCAATCCTTCTTTTCAGAATCTGGATGATAGGGACCTTGGGTTTTGGTTTGTTGTTATTATTATTCCTTAAAATTGATGCATAATGATTTCATAACAAAATATTTTATTTATATAAACACATGGACTGCCAAAGAACAAACAAATATGTGCAGGAGAAAGTGAAACTAGGGTACTCTTTAGAGGCAAGGATGGTGAAGCGTCATCTCACGTACTTTGGGCATGTTGTTAGGATGGGCTAGTCCTTGGAGAAAGATATCATGCTTCGAAAGGCGGAGGGTCAGCGAAAGAGAAGACCCTTGACAAGATGAATTGACATGGTGACTGTATCAACAGGCTGAAGTATATCAGAAGTGATGAGGATAAACAGGGTAGGACAAGGTTCAGATCTATTGGTCATACAGTTGCTATGAGTCATACTTGACTCAGTGGCACTTGATAACAACATACAAATACTAAGTAAATCTGAGAGGTCATCTCAGTCTATGAATTGTTCTCTTTTCAATATGCTTCCCTGTACCTCAGAAGCTTGGAAAGGTGATATCATCTAATGACCTGGTTCTGTCTTCTCCTTCCTAGAGTAAAGCATCAAGTGGAATACCTGGGTCTGAAGGAAAACATTCGAGTGAGAAGAGCTGGTTATGCTTATCGGCGCATCTTCCAAAAATTTCTACAGAGGTATGACTGTCGAAGTGTCCAGTTCAAGACTTTATAAAATATATTAATATGGTTGTACATCTGTCACCACATCAATTTTAAATACTTTCTTTATCCCCAGTAAATCCTGTTGGCCTTAGCCATCATCCTATTTTCCTTCTCCTTACACCTCAGTCCAAGGCAATCACTTTTCTAAGCTCTCCATAAGGATTTGCCTATTCTGGATATTTCATGTAAATGAAATCTGTGTGCCTGATCCAAGCTATGTCTTCTTAATTACTTGCTGTGCTTCTGAAAGTTGGGCAATGATTAAGGATGACAGAAGAGTCATTGATGCTTTTCAGTTGTGTTAGGGAAGAGTACAAAAAATCCCATAGACTCCTAAGAGAACAAACAGATCTGTCTTAGAGAAAGTGAGACCAGGGTGCCTCTTGGAAGCAAGGATGGTGAAACTCCATCTCATCAGCTATGAGCATGTTAGGAGGGGCCAGTCCATGGAGAAGGGAATCATGTTTGCAAAGGTGGAGGGTCACGTAAGAGAAGAAGACCCTCAGCAAGATGGATTGACATGATGACTCTCACAGTGGGTTCAAGTGTGTCAGAGAAGGTGAGGCTGGCACAGAATAGGACCAAGTTCAGATTCCCTGTTCATAGAGTTGCTGAAGAGTTGCGGTCAATTGGAAAGCACATAACAACAGACAATATATGATCCTCTGTCATTACCTTCTTTCTGTGTTGTTGTTGTGGTTGTTGCTGTGTGCTCATGAACAACAGATAATGTTCATTATAAAGAGCCTAGAGGAACCCTCTCAATGAGATTCATTTATGCAGTGACTGCCGCAGTGGGCTATATAGTATGTCAGAGATGATGATGATGAGATGGCACAGGATAGTACAGAGTCTTATCAGTTGTTTGCAGGACCCTGCAAGTCATACTCAACTCAATGGCACATAATAACAGTACTTCTTTATTTTTTAATTTTTTTTCATATAGGAAAAGGTAGCAGAAGGGGCTTTGGTTGTTTTTTTTTTTAACATTTTTTATTTATTGTTGCACATTTTCTGCCCCCTCTTTTCCTCCCTCTCCAATAGCACACCCTTCAATGCACTCCTTGTTCCTTTCAAATAGTTCTTCTGAGAGTGTTGGAGAGGGAATGGGCAAAGAGTGCACAGGTAATGAACACTGCATTAAACAGTCCTTCTTTAAACAGATCAGTAATACTTGCTCAGAAAAGCCTTTGGGTTTCTCAACTGCAAATATTTAATATTCGGGGCTGAATAATTCATTATATGTTGTAAGGGGTTAACCTGTGCATAGTAGGATGCTTGACCACATCCTTGGCCTCTGTAGGCAGACCTCTGAGATACTGTGGGTTCACTCCACATCACCCCAATAAAGTAACTTTTGCAATTAAGTAAGTCACATTATTTTTTCCCTCCTGTATCTAAAAATTATGTTAATACTGTACTGTACAACAGTAGTATGAACACACTTGAAGTAGTACAAGAATTACCAAAATGTGAAAACAGAGACAACATACTGTTGGGGAAATGACACCAGTTGATTCTCTCAACACAGGGTTGCCACAGGCATTTAATTGAAAATAAACAAAAATGTATCTATTAAACAGAAACTGTGAAATGCAGTAAAACAAGATATGACTCTGTTCGTATGAACTGGCGTCATCCTTCCAGTTTTGATGACCAAAAACATATCCAAACATTGCCAGATAAACCCAGGGGGCAAAGTCAATTCAGAGACTCTGGCATAGATAATTATTAAAGTTTGGGCAAAATGGAATTTCTTTGAAAACACTCCTTTTTATTAAGAAAAGAAAATAAAATAGTGAACGAGAAGCATTCCTAAGTCATTCCCCAGCTCAGAAAGAGCTATACTCAACAATTTAAATATTTATAATCTTCCCTTATTGAATATTTTCTTATACTTAAAAACTCTTTGATAATTGCAAATTATCTCCTTAGCATGACTATTTTAAAAACTCTGGTCAGACTTTTTTAAAATTCGTCTTTGTTTTATTTTGAGAAATCAATTCTGAAAGAGCTTTTTCCTACCTCATTATTTTAAAAAGAAGAGAAAGACAAAGATCTGATTTCCATAAGCAATGCTAAGTTCCACAGCACTGGAGGGAACAGGCTGCCCATGTGCCCCCTGTGGAAATGCTTTGTGCCCTGACTTGTCTAAGATAGTCTAAGAAAGCTGTGTCACTTGTTTGCAGCTCTGCAGCTGAACTGTGAAATGACCTCTTGGTGCCATGCCGCCATCTGAGAACATGCAGGATACCTCCCACAGAGTAGGCACTTAGAGAACATCTCCTCCACCCCTGAATGTACTCAATTCTTGGACTCTGTGGATTGGCTTCTGCACTTTCTTTTGCAAGTCTCCTGGTTCTGGTGCCACCTTTCTTTTCTTTTTTTTTTTTCTTTCTGCTACTTCAATAAATTGTTGAATGGCTTTGATAAAATTATTCCATCTAGAATGTCTTTCTCCTTAGCTCTTTGTTGGAAGTTTATCCTTCCAGAAGAGATGAGTGAGTGTCATCTTGTTAAAAAAAAATCAATGATGTAAATTAGGCAGTTATGCAATTGTCATCCTCCATTTTTACAGAATACTGATTTTTGCATAAGGACCTGGTATTTGGAATTTATTCATGTTGATAAATGAGGGATAAATGTGCTTATTACTGTGGTTTGGAGAAAGAGGACCAAATGTAGATTCCGATCTTTAGGAAGAAAAATGGAATATAAATTAAAATTGCAAAGTTGCTTTTATAGCACCATTTATACTGCTTCAAAAGCATCCTTCCCTTCAATCAGCTCCTCAGCATGCAGGAATGAAAAAGAGATCAGGAAAGGCATGACATTCTAAGGACACAGTAGAAAGAAGATTAGGAAATCCAAGAAAGCTAGGGCAGGAGAAAGTATGATACTGGCTGCCAGGATTTGCAATTATTTCAGATCTGAAACATCCTTAAGTTGCCAGTGGCTGCAGGTCACTATGACCTTGGCTACATTTCCCTAAAGTGGATACATCTGAGGTCTTACCAGGAGCCAAGAAGATTTTTTTTAAAAAGTGACATTCTGAAAGGCCTGAAGATGGAGATGTCCATCTGTAGACTAAGGTGGCATATGTAGGACTTTACAGAGAAAATAACTGATGAAGTAAGGATATACTTAAGGAGCTCTGGTGCTGTAGTCTGTAATATATTGCATTACTATCTAAAAAAGAAGTATGTAGTGCTTTGAGTTTCACTTTGTTCCCTCAGTAGACTGCTAAGAGAACAAACAAGTTTGTCCTGGAGAGGGTGAAGCCAGGCTGTTCCTTGGAGGCCAGGATTCTGAAGCTTCATCAGACTTACTTTGGACATGTTGCAACAACAACATACGTGCCAACTTAGTTAGACTATGACTCTCAGTGGTTCGGTAGTTATGTAATTATGTAATCAAGTACCATGGCATACTTAGCCTATCAGTTATTTATGGATTAGTGTGAGATGCAACACCCTTACCCAGATCTACCTAGAAAGAAGAACTAGGAGTGGATAAAATTTTTAGTACTCCTTTGGACCCTGGGTCCCTATGCTGAGAACCTCTTACACCTAAGAGAAGAGTGATGCCAAGACTTACAGATGCTGCAGAACCAGGAGACCCACACAAGAAAGTACAAGAAATTCAGGTAGTGAAAGAGCTGAGCGCATTCAGGCAGGCTTCCTGGTGGAGTGGGGTGCCTCTGATCATTTTTTTAGCAAAGCTGTGATAGCACACGTACAGAGTGAGAGAAGTGAGCACTTTTGGGCTTAGGCTTACTGGTGGCGTGGAGTACCTCTGGGCACTTACTGGTGCAACTTAAGGGCTCTATTAAGACTTGCCAGTCACAGAACCAGGAAGCAGAAACCAAAGAGACAAAGCTACTTGTGTCTCAAAGACTAGAGTCAAAACCTTTGAGATCTCAAAGGATGGAATCACAGCCTCAAAATTCAAAGCCAGACTCACATTGGAATTCAGAGGGTATAAATCTTAATAAGAGGAGAGTACTCCTCTTTCTCTTATGCTGCTGCCGAGTCATTTCAATTAGCAGAACAACAGGCTGCAGACTACACCATCAGTGCTGAGTCTCAAATTGTGGGACATGACTTCCTCTGTTTCAAAGAGTCGCAGCTTGACCAGTTTGCTTCTTGAATGTGGGGCTGCCCATCAAAAAGTGCCACTGGAGTGGGACCAGAGCCCCTGGCAAAGCTGAGAGTTTGGGGCTATAGAATAAGGAACAGTAAGGAATGGAACTGACACTCAAAGAATTAGTAGAATAGGGCTGCCCAAAGCTGAAGGTAGAGAGTTACTATCCGAGGGGTCCTATAGGTTAAACTAAGTGGAAAATACACAAAGGACAGAGGGCAGAGTCATTGCCTCAGTGGTCTCAAGGAACAGAGAATTACATCTTGAGTGTTAATGTAAATTGTTGTGCTGGCCATTTTACATATTTGGTGATCATTAACCCTTATTCTCTAGATTCTCCTGTTGATAATGGAAATGTCTACCTTGGACCTATCCTACCATTTTACTCCAGACCAGATAACTTGTATTCTAGACTCCCAGAGGAAGAATTTTGTCTGAGGACAGAATCCAATGATTATAGAATGATAGAGTCGTCTTCCATGATGTGATCTGCCAGTCAGTTGTAAAGCGGTTGTTAGGTGCCCTCAAGTTGAGTATGACTCAAAGCAGCAATACGAATAGCTGACCTGAAAACCCTTATCCAAGTAAGAACTCTCATCTGATACAATGGGAGTTTCTTTGGTGTGTAGCCTACATCTCCTTTTATTTTACAAGAGATTAAACCCAAAACAAAAACAGAGAAGCAAGAAAATAATTCCTACCCTGAAGAAATAACCAGTCTAATCCTGCAGAGAACAATTTGGTTTCACCATCTCCAAAACAGACCTGTTCATTGTCTTAGCAGTCCATGGGATGGGTGTTTAATACTCTTCTCCAGCACCACAACTCAAAAGCATCAATTCTTCTGTCATCCTTATTCACTGTCTAGCTTTCAAATGCATAGCAGGTAATTGCAAAGATCAGGCACATCTTAGTCTATAGACTGACATCTTTAGCACTCTGGAGAGGTTCCTAATAGTTGACTTTCCTAGTCCAGTTCATCCTTTGATTTCCTGGCTGCTGGTTCCAAGAGTGTTGACAATCTCAGTCTCTTCTCCATTTATTATAGTGCTGTCAGTTGGACCTGTGTTGAGAATCTTTGTTTTCTTGATGCTGAGTTTCAATCTATATTGAAGACTACAGTCCTTGACCTTCTGCAGCATATGCTCAGGTCTTCCTCAGTATCAGTGAGCAAGGTTGTATCATCTGCATAATTCAAGTTGTTGATGAGTCTTCCTCCAGTCTAATGCCACATTCTTCCTCATAAAGATTAGCCTCCTGAATGATCTGTTCTGTATATAGGACACATCCCTGACACACTCTTTTCCTGATTTGGAACTATGCAGTGTTTCCTTGTACTGTTCTGATGACTAACTCCTTGTCCTAGTATAGGCTTTGCAGGAGCACAATTAAATATTCTGGGATTCCCATTCTTCTCAAGGTTAGCCACAATTTGTTGTGATTCACAAGTCAAACGCCTTTGCATGGTCAATGAAACACAGATAGACATTCTTCTGGTACTCTCTGCTTTCAGCCAAAGTCCATCTGATACTGGCAACGATGTCCCTAGTGCTGCAGCCTCTTCAAAACCTAGCCTATACTTCTGGTAGTTCTCAGCTCATGTACTGTTCCAGTCATTTTGGAATAATCTTCAACAGATCTTGTTTCCATGTGATATTGTTTGATAATTTTCACACTCTGTTGGGTCGCCCTCTATTTTGGAATGGGAATAAATATGGCTGTCTTCCAATCAGCTGGCCAGGTAGCTGTCCTCCAGGTCTCTTGGCACAACTTTGTGGGCAAATCTGTTTGCTGAAATATGTCACTTGGTATTCCATCAATTCCTAGAGCCTTGTTTTTTGCCAGTTCCTTTAGAGCAGCTTGAACTTCCTCCTTCATCACCATTGCCTCTTGGTCATATGCTGTTTCATTAAATTATTCTGTGTCAGCGAATTCTTTTTGGTACAGTGACTATGAACTCCTTCCATCTTTTTTTGATGCCTCCTGGATCATTGAATATCCTTCCCATAGCATCTTTAAGTAATTTCAGCATCTAAATTGCAACTCAAGGCTTGAATTTGTTCTTTAGTTCCTTCAGCTTAAGAAATGATGTGTGAGTTTGTTGATTCTCTGACTCCAGCTCTTTGCACATTTCATTTTAATACTTTCCTTTGTCTTCGTGAGCTGCCCTTTGAAATCTTCTGTTCAGCTACTTAACTTCCTGATTTCTTCCCTTTGCTTTGGTATTTCAGTGTCCTAGTACAATATTCAGAGACTCTTCTGACATTCATCTTGGTCTTTTCTTCCCCTTCTGTCTTTGTAACTACCTTTTGCATTCATAATAGATGATATTCTTGATAGCCTCCCACAGCTTCTCTGGTCATTCATTAGTATCCAAGGCCTCAAACCTGTTATTGAGATGGTTTTTAAATTCAGGTGGGATAGACTGAAGGTCAAAATTGTATTAAGTCTTCCTGAAGGGGAGTCTTGAAGCATGAGTACAAGACCACCAAGATAACAGTGTGGGGAACAGGACTCCTGATAGAAGGAACAGCAAGAGAATAGTTCTGAGGTGGGGAACTGTTACAGTGTGTGCAAGGAACAAGCTAGCAACATGGAGAGCTGCTAAAAAAGCAGAAAGAGAGGAGGTTGAAGAATAGCCAACAACCAGATCATAATTGGTCTCAGGACTCAAAATGGACAGGATTTCAAAGCAGAAAACAACATTTCTGGCAACTGCTTATAGGAAGTTTTATAAAATTGTTTTCACTTTAATTGTTATGTCCTCTGAAGAAATAAGGGGAAATTAATACTAGAGAAACTTAGCTCAATCAGGTTGAAATAAACTCATAGCTGACCTTCCAGGGGAGTTCGGCAGCTCTGAATCACACAGGAGGAGATTGTCTGTCTGTCTTCTCCAGAGCTACTGGTGTATCGGAACCACTAAAGAATACAGCCTTTGAATTAATAGCACAACTTCCTATGGACTATGTGACCAGAATTCCCTAGTATTGGAAAAAGACTGGTTTTGCTTGAGGAGCATCACTTGTGACCTTCGGTTGTGCTATTTTTAGTGGTCGAAAGGAAAGCTGATTTTTACCAGGGTGTTCATGTAGTAACAGAGTAGCAAGCAGCTCAGTAATGAGCACCCAGAATCAGAGGTTTTTCCCAGTCACTGAAGTGCAACCCTAAGTAATCCTGAAACATTACTAAGAGGATTACCAGCACCCTGTCAGCGCTCATGCCTTTAGAACAAAGCTCTGGTTACCTGTGAGTGGCCCTGTCTGTGTCTGATCCTTCTCTCCTTATTGGGCTTCACAGATACGCCATTCTGACCAAAGCTACCTGGCCTTCATGGAGAGGAGATGAGAAGCAAGGTGTTCTCCACCTGCTACAGTCTGTCAACATGGACAGTGACCAGTTCCAGCTCGGGAGAAGTAAAGTGTTCATCAAAGCCCCGGAGTCTGTGAGTGTGACTGCCCCACTGGCCTTCTCCCTTTCCTCAGAGCCCAAGCAGACTCCATCCCCTGAAATCCTCCTCCAATACCTCCTCACTTAGTACTTCTTTTTTTTTTTAATTCTTCCTTTACATCCTAAATATTTCTTCAGAAAGAAGTAGGACTTCAAACAAGTCCAAACTAGTTCAGTCACAAACAACAAAGTGAAACTAGAACACACTCTAATTTTGAAAATTCTAATTAGATCAGTCAAAATTCCAGGTCCAAGCCCTGGAAGGGGAGACTTGGAAGATGAATGGTGGGCCCTTTCAAGAGTCTGATGAATGCAAATCATTGAATTATTATTGCAAGACTGTGGAGAGCAACACACAGTCAAAGCAGATTGGTCATAGCTAATCTATAAGAGCCAGACACCATTATTTTAGACTCAGCTGGTTGAGAGACATGGTTATTGTACAGCGTGAATGCTACACTTGGTTTTTGAATGTCAGATTAAATTTCTGATAGGGCTTTGACCTACAATTTTTACTCTTCCAATTAGTGTTCTGGTTTATCCTCCTTTTGTTTTTTAATTGATTTTAATGAAAGTTTACAAAGACTTTGGATTTCCATTCATTTATTGTTGCACTTTTCTCCCTGCCCAGCCATCCCCCACAATTAGCTTTTTTCTTTAAAAAGTAGAAGAAAAAATTTTTTCATTGTTATTCAAACCCTCCCCACAAGTCCACTCCACTATGCTACCTTCAATCTGGACTCCTGTCATAACAATACTATCTAATCATATATCCCTTTTAAACAGTTCTCTCCCTCATCTGTTTCAATGCAGTATACATTATTTATCTCCTCTTTTTCAGTCTCCCCCCAACCCCTATGTGAGTCTTCTTTTATAACAGTGGCATTATGCCATATTTGTCTTTTTGTGACTGAGATATTTCACTCAGTGTGATGTTCTCCAGGGTCACCCATTTTGTGTAATATTTCCTTGCTTCTCAGTGCCGCATAGTATTCTATTGTGTGAATATACCAGAGCTTCTCTATCCATTCGTTTATTGATGGGCACTTGGGTTGTTTCCAACTCTTTGCTATTATGAACAAAGTCAAAATAATTATCCGCATTTTAAAAGTTGGGTTTATTCAGGTGTTACTTCATAGGGCATGACTTAACCAGTGCGAAGCCCAGAAAAAAATTAATTCCTGGTACTACCTCTCAACGACACCTAACAACAATAACTACCTCCTTTGCAGAGTCTTTCACCGGCTCTTGCATCTGCTTCATGACACTGACAAAAATAACTACTTTCTAGTTGATTCTGACTCATGGTGACTTCATGTGTTTGGAATACACCTGTGCTCTACAGCGGGTGCTTTGGAAGTTGATCACCAAGGTTTTTTTCTAATGTCCTTCAGAGTATATTGACCTCCATCCTTTTGATCTGGAGCCCAGAACAGTTAACTAAATACCACACCTCAGGATTCCCTTAGAGTGCCTCGCCTTTATAAGTAGATGTCAACAAATAATGATTTATTTTGTTACTTACTGTTTGTACTCTTCTAGCCAGTAAATCTCATGAAGGCAAGGACTCTTATCTCCTGCCATAGTATGCACAGAGCCTACAGAGACTGGCTTATAAGAAATGTTCAACAGTTAATTAAGAAATCATGAATAAACAAATTCTTCTCCTAAACCAGAAGGGAGTTTTTGTCCCACAGAGATGTTTTATATAAATATATACCCTAATTTGGGTGATACCAAAGAGACCAATTATACACAGTCCTAGGCTTCCTCTTTGAAGGCTGAGCTGGCCCAGTGATGGGAATTCCCACTATTGTACTTTGAAGAACAGGAGAGAACATGGAAAAGATTATGAGGGAGAAGTGATGGACTTGCTAAAGAATAATTACCTCTTTCCTCTTAAGTAAAGGAAAGAACTTGTCATATCTATGAAGAACTTGGCAAAACAGGTTAGAAGAACTCTTTGCATTTATAGATTACAAATTAGGCAGTCAAACATATACCTTTTACAGATACCAGACCTGGGGAATTCATTGGAAGAAACATTTTTCTCTTTTCTGATGGTGGACCTAATGAGTACCTTACAAAACTCTCCATTTGCACAGGAATCCAACACAGTACTCAGGTCCTCTATCCAAAGAGCTCTGGGGCAAAAGAATAAAGACATTTCTTTTAAGTCTGAGAAATTACTGAAATTAAGTCATGTTTGGCATCATTTTTTCTTGAGATTCCAACAGTAAGCACAAGTCTGCCCTTCAAGAGTCAGTGCATTACCGCTCCTAAGAACTCTAACATAAACGTACACTCCTGCTCAGCATTTTTCACAATAGCAAGGAAGATGGAAAAAAACTAAGTGTCCATCAACAGGAGTGGATTAAAAAAATGTGATATGTACATACAATGGAATACTACTATTTAATAATGAAGAATAAAAAAGAATAATGACAAATTTGCAAAACAACATCTGAAAAGAGAAGCCGAGCGAAATAAGGCAATCCCAAAAGGACAAATGTATGCAACCAATTATCTTAAAAAATAAAAAATAGATTTATGCACAGAAATATTCCTTGATGGCTACCAAGGATAGGAAGGAAAATTACTAAATAAATAGTATACCTATGGCCTAATCGTAAGGATCTGTGCTGCAGCCTCAAAGGCGAGCAGTTCAAATCCATCAGAGGCTCTGTGGAAGAAGGATGAGCAGTCTCCTCCTATGCAATTTACGACCTTGGAGAACCTGCTGGAAGGTCCACTAAGGGTTGGTCAGTTCCAGCTCAGTGGCATACAACAGCAGCATTGTTGTCAAGTCAGTTCCAACTCATGGTGATCCTCCATCAGGTACTGATGCTGTAACTCTTTACAAGGGAAGACGCCTATTTTCCTCCCACAGAGCAGCTGGTAGAATCCAACTACTGACTTTTCCACTAGTGATGTAACACATAACACGTCACATCACCACAGTTCCCTTAATTCAGATCGAGAGAACGGCAGTACTCAGTATGGGCCAAGCATAAAATGATCAAGGAAGATACAAAGAAATACATAAGAGTAAAGAACAATTACACTAAGTCTGGAACATAGACAATCCTGCAACAACACTAATAACAAATAATTTGTTAATGGTGATAACTATCGATATATAGACTAAATAGATGTGGGTGGTCATGGAGGATTTCAACCATATGCCTGTAAAGGTATGTTGTTGTTGTTCTGTGCTGTCGAATCGCTTGCGACTCATAGCGACCCTATGTACAACAGCCCTAAACTCTGCTCTGTCCTGTGCCAATCGCACTGTCTCTGACACAACCATCCCAATTATCCCAGTCAC